CTTACATCCAATTGAATACAAGTGACACAAGAGATACAATAAACTGCTCGTATACGTAAATTTTCATATCACTACATAATTTCCGAATAATTTATTGATATCATTTTGCATAAATGGCTCTTTTCCATTCATAATTTTACTCCCACAAAAGAAAGAAAGTCAAGTCGATCCATTCGCTTAACGCACCTCAAACGTCACAACGTCCCGTCGTGTCAGCTTGGTTCTGCAGTCTTTCTTATGGACATTTGTAAGAGCGAATAGTATCATACACTTAGTTCAGTTGGTAAAACAATGGAGCGCTTGCTTGACATTTGAGCATCAAATCTAGGGAGGTGGACTCTTTCGTATTAATTTTGAGGACTTAGAACGGTATTTTTCAGGACAGCTCAGAGTGCTAAAAAGAATATTTTCACAAGTGTTCCAAGCCCCTGAAGCAAGGTACATGAAGCTGAGAAATATTCGCCCATTCTTTATACTTTTTACTATTTATACTGAATATTCACCCACACTTATTACAGATGTAACCAATACATTTGCCCCAAAGTTCTTGGCAAGTAAGACAAAGAAAATGTGTATACCCATAAAATGTTTGGACTTTTTTAATCTTTGTTTTAGAGTGGAATTAGAGAAAGAAATTCTAATAGAGCTTTGTAACTCTCAACCAATCTTAACCAATGATTTTTTTCCACCTCTCACATTTCAACTATTCATAAATAGTCGAACATAATGATAAAAGTTCAGTATTTGTTGCTAAGAGTTAACAATGTTTCAAGGACTGACCGAAATGTATCAGCGTTCCCCTCAGACAAAGGACGAGCAACAGATACGCAGAAGCTTACAAGTTTGGTTCTCCGAATATTGGTGTCTCCCTATCTGTAGCACTTTATTTAGTTACGTTGCGTTGTGGTAGAAGCCCTGGAAATTAGAAGTTTATATTATGTTGTATAGTGTGGACGTTTGAATATTACCGACGCAGAAATCTCCCTCAGCCGATGAGCCCTCTGCTCTCGTTGCTCACTGGCTTTGACGCAAAGTTTCCCGGTCGCTTCTCACGAATTCTATTCTAAATGGTGGTGAAACTGTTGCCCTTTCGCCCGAGTACACTCCAGACACATTCGAAACACTTTCTGGTCAACTCTCTGCCGCAAATCACCCTGAAGCCGGGCGTGTGCTGCGATTAAAGAATCATTAGGCACAGACCGCACCTTCCCACATCTTTTGGTCTTTCGCGCTGTAATTTTTCTGCGAGCATATTTGAAACATTAAAGGTAAGAAAGGAAATCGCACACAGAAGAGGAAATTTATGAAAACATACAGATCACATTGCTGTCATTTCGCATAATTGGCGGCATCTTCTGTAGAATAGCAAAAGCAAAAGTACGGGAGTGTTGGCGATTTTTTTAAGGAGATTGCCTCCAACGGTGTTGCGTCGTCCGAGAGAGATTTTTGCACAACCCAGTAAGTTAAAAAAAATCCAATCTCGCTTCCCCCTTTCACAAAAATGTTCCTATGAAGAGGGATCTCATGACGACTATGGTCTCAAGTATTCCCTTGAACATTTTGAGCTTCCATCCTTGTATTTGGATGGAAGTACCTAATATTCGATAAAGGAACATGCGTCCGTCATTCACGTTCACCGACGCCCCTGAAATATCATACTCGTTCATCAACGGTTGTATCAACAACAGGCGTGGCAACATCACCCAGTGCGGATGCCGACAGTACCACGCCCAGAGGGGGCGGGGCCAGAGCCAGGGGCAGGGCCAGGGCCAGGGCCAGGGCCAGTGCCGGGTGAGGCGGCCGGGCAGTCGGCGCGGCGTCGCGACGCCGCCGCCGCCCGAATCGCGGGCCGCGGACGCGACCTACCCCGCCTATCGATTCCCGTCAGCTGGCGCGCGCCGCGCCCACGCCACGCCGCTGCCGCCGCCGCATCCTCCAAGCGGTGCTCCGCTCCGTGAAGCACAGCCAAGTCCTAATTACTTCCCAAAAATTGTCGCTCTATAACTAACATCGAAAATGCGAAATTTCAGGAAAACAAAGAACAGAGACGATTTAAAAGTGTTTAAAATTAATTTACAAAATCAAAATTGATTATCGAGAAGGTCTTGGAGGATCATGGGGACACGTGTCCAGCTCTGTTCTGACCGCAACCACTCAAGTGCATGCAGTAGGCCCTGGCTTCACCTTGCTACTGGCTGCCACACACTTTTTTAAAAAATAATTGTAAATTTATCCCCGCAATTTTTCAATTTTTCTGAAAGTTCTCATATTGAATTATGGCGCGGCGAATTATGTTTAAGAACGACAAACCTTATTTTTACGCAACAAATTGGTGACATTTTTTTAGAAAACGTTCGGGACTTAGCTGATCCGTCTTTATGGACCTTTGCATAGGTCGCCCTCGTCGGCCCATATTCTCGCGTTGCAGGAGGCTAGCTCCACGTATGAGACATTAGAATATGAATAAGAGTCATTCGGAGTATTTGCGAAAAATCTCGGAATTAGAGTGGAAAATTCGCAATTTGTAACCGACCGGAATATGTTCATCAACATACATCGGAAACTCGAGCATTCGCTTTTCCCGGTTCTTACGCACTCTGGGCTGGGAATAAGGGAAGCGGTTTTTTCAGTAGAAGTTACTGACTAAACGTAGATGTATCGAGATGAATATTCTTTAGTTTTATTTATATAACATTTCAGGAGGAGATTGTTTCGAGAGTTCATATTAGGTACGGTATGGACGAAACAAACTCATCAGTGCAGACATTTACAAGATCACATGACTAGAAATCGTGACAGAGGTTTCTTGAAACATTTTATTATATTGTTCACATTAAACATGAAATTGTAATATGAATGAAATGCTATAAAAGCTTATTTCAGAAATCACAGCTACGCAATCATCTACAGGCAGTTCACAGAACTCTTCGAGGTTTCTGAACCAATCAAACTTCTTCACCTTCAGCCATATTTTGGTTAGAAACTTTCAAATAACATTTACCACTAAGAAATTCCGTGGATGTCGGGCTCTCGCTTACGACGTGTTTACGCGACTTTCGTAAACTCCTTTTCGAAATCCTCGACATATTTCGGACAAAGTGTACATAGAATTTCTGCGCTAGTTTCCGCGGGGTACTGCACTAATATCAAGATTTCAAGAAGTTCTTTAATGCTTTTGATTTTAGCTTCTAATTCGGGCAATTTCCTTAATTCGTTTTAAATATAATAATTTAATCTCGTAAAATAAATCTATAATCGACATTATTCTCGGAGTGGTTTCCAAACTAGGTTGATATCAAACGCTTTGGACAAGACCTTTCACAGTACTTTGTTGATTTTGTTATGTATGTTCTTTCGTTATACAAAATCTTAAGTAACAAACATTAAAAGTTTATGGTAAAAATTATAGAATACTTTAACCAACTCTAATATAAAAGGAAAATATATTTATTACATTACAAAATACAAATGACTTTTTTATGAAAGTTATAGGCATTTTTCTAGCTTGTACACCACTTATTCATCATGGCAACACATACAAATAATCTAGGCGGCGGGTAAGAATTTAATAGACAATGACTTCACCCTCGGGTTTCTCTATATATGCAGGAAAGGGTATGAGTTAATGAGGTAATGATAGATAATAGTGTGAAATGGTATCTAATGATAGAGTAAAATACAGAACAGAAAAGCTTCATTTAATTTTTCACTGAATGTTCACGTATGCAAACACTAGAAATAATAACACAGTCGTTTGTTGTATATTGTATTTTATAAATAACTGTATTTTAATTTAAACATATACAACCGAAATTATTGGAATCCATTCTTAGAAGTCATGGGAGAATTTCAAAATCATTGTCCGTTTTACGTCATTTATTCTCGTCGGGAGATGTGACGATAAAGCCCATACATTCATTACATTAAATCACTTTATAAAGGCCTTTTTTCGCTAGCTGATCTTTCACTGAAGCTTTTTCTTGAAACATCTGATACATTATGCTTCGATTAACCATACACTTATCTTATTAAGACTCGGAATATTCCTATGCAATGAAAAGTATTCAAACGCACATTACAATAATCATACCACAAACAACCACGAACTTACGATTTAATGCAAAACTATACAAATTAACTTTGTATCAGAATATTCTGTAATAAACAAATTCTGAATGACATTATGAAGCTTTGCAATTAGTAATGTATTTCCCTAACTATAAATGTAATTCCATTCAACATATTATTTAATGCAATTTACACAACTAGTGCACAAACTCTTAGATAGCAGAACATAACAGCGAAACTTCATCTTTATGTTCCAAAATTATAACCCTGTAAATACGTACAAATCCTCAAATCCTTTAAAGTGTATCCACAATTATTTTTGCAGCAAAACGCTTTACAATTAAAACACTTGTACTAACTTCTTTGTATCGAATAATTTCCACTTTCACTAAAATACGTTTAGTTCCAATAGTATGCATGGTTACAACGTAAACAAGATCCTTACTTCCCTACAAACTACGATTTATTTTCGAAAGTATACTCTCAATATAATGTACCGAAAGTTGCTAATAACAATTACGACAATATCTCAACCATAACAAATGTGAATGCTGTATTATTAAAAGGATTGGCAACTTCATTCTAAGTATACCATTAAATGCACCAGCTTTCGGGGCAAATAAAACTTATTTTAAAAAATATCTTCCCATCATGTGGCAACAGCGCTCGGCAGAACACCTGGTCCAGTCAGGTGGTCGCGTATTCCCTTCATCTCCACGTTTTTCTTTCCATCAGATTCCCCTTCCTCTCAACCACCAACTAACTACCCTATCATTCCGCACTTCATGGGTTCCTTCTAGCAAGAAAATTTTCTACTCTTAAGTCACATAATAAGTGCATTGCAACATCAACTGTCAAAATGCAACACATGACAGAAACATTACAGAATTTAATACGAGAGAGAGAAACAACCAAAATGAATAAAGCATTACCTGTCCAGCAGTGTCGCACAATTGTACACTAAATGGTTGTCCATCCACTTTCACCAGAACTGAAAATAGAAGAAAAAAAACACTTATATATTTATCTTAAACATTTAGCAAATTCGAACATAAGATGATACTGAATATGTAGTCATGACTTTACTTTCCGCGTGACAGCTTTAATAATATTATTTTATCGCTTCAATTTTATGACAACACTCGTTTGGTGAGAGAATGAATTGAAAATTAGTAAATCGAACTAATAGTGTCACAAAAAATCATTCTTAAAAATTAACAAGTTTTTTTTGACAGTACTTGGCATGCCTTCGAAACGAGTACTAATGCTACTCTTGTAGATAGATTTCAATATTCACCAACTCTTTTGCAATAGCGAATGTAAAAAACCCATGAATATTGAACGAAATTCAATCTCTGTTGGCAATTCATTCGGTTTAACATTCTACACCCTTCTTTGACATTACATGAAAATAATAATGTAACAGTTCCGCCAAATTAATCTTCCTATATTTACAGTAACAAACATAATTTGCCAAAATTCATCCCTTGCATACTGCTGACATGCCTCAAAATACGATAATTTCTAATAAATATACTTAAAATATATGGTACACTTACCATTGAAGTTATCAAAGGCAGTCGGTACATATTCGTTGGGAAATCCATTCGTACTATAACTAACCACTAATGATGTTTTTCCCACAGCTCCATCACCAACTAAAACACATTTAATGCGACCACTGGTATTGTTAATGTCACTCGGATCGTCTTTCAACAACGGACTAGTACAACCCATGGCGGAGGGAGGCATCCTACGACCCTCCCTCGTCGAACGCTCGGATTACATTGACGCTCAGGTGCTCCGCAGACACGTTGTGCCCCAATTCGCCGCCAGATGACACCGCAACGTACTACCACAGAGCTCTCAGCGGCGAATTCCGGTATCACGACTTTTATTACTTGGCGGGACGCTTTAACCACTGATATTGTGGCGTGTTAGACCTACGATTACATTGCATTAAAATATCCCTCCAAATTTGTTGAACTTTTGTTTGTTCATCCATTTCAACACTATTTAAATCAAAAAAGTGAATAAAAAAATCATGTAATCTTTTTGGAAAATATCTACCACTGATTAATATTTTTGTACTACTAACAAATACAAGAAAATAAATATTGAAAATGAACTTCCTTACCCATGCAAACAATTACGTAAGAAACCTCAGTTAAATTGCATGCATTTTGTAACCTTATCCAAAAATATCATATTTTATGCTGTGGTCAATAATTTACAATGGAATATAAACTTCACTGATTTTAGTGTCGTATTTATTTTCTTTCTGCTCAACACCAAAATAATTTTAAAATGGCCTCCACACAATAGGGGCCATTTAATCAAATTTAAACACAAGAAATATTTAAAAATAATGTTAACATTAATTTACAGTATGATTTTAAAAAAATATAATTACTTCAAAATTGGGGAGAACATTAATTGTTTATTAACCCATCTTCCAGTCACTTTTTATGTTATGGATACCCGTTCTCAGCCCAAAAAGTGAAAAGACTTTTTCAACAGCCCCTTTCAAGTAATAGAATTCCCTTCTTTTTTCTGCTTCAAATTTGGTACAAAATGTATAATATTTGTCATGTTTATTTTTTAATTATTTCTTGTGACATTTTTTCAGTTTTTTAAACTTTGTATGAGTAAGGATTTTTCAATGTTATTTTATCTGCAGTAATTTAAACAATCCAAATTATATTTGTGCTAAGGTAGTGTGCATGCTAAAAATCATCATGAAACAAATCCATGAGCTGTGTAAAGACCTAAAATCAATTGATAAAAAGCTACATATTTATATACCAATAAAAAATTATAGGATGAACCAATAAATAATGTTTGTATTCTAGAGAGATAAGGTTTTAAAAAAAACATCATCAGATTAAAAAATACAAATCTTTAATAAGATTAAAAATACAAACTTCTATTATGTTTCATATTTTCAAACAGATCTTAATTTTTTTCTTGACTGACAAACATTTCATAAAATATATTTTCACATTTTGCTTCACAATAAACTTTGAATTAATAACATGTCAACTCTTTCATTGTCTATTCATACTAGTATGGCTGTTGACATGTAGGATTATATCTCCATTATCACTAGCAGCCACACTAACCAGGTATGATCGACGGCAGAACACAGGAACAAGCAGCGACTTTTCAAAATTAAGTTCATAAATTGATAAAATAAAAGAATTTAAATAGAAATGAGCAGTAACATTAAAAATTTTCAAAATCATTTATAAACACTAATTTAGAAGAATGAATGTACACGAAAATATTACCCCTCCCCCCCAAAAAAAAATCTGACACAGTCATATATATTATACACACACATTTTCTTGAGATCCAGAATACCTACCCCCTTTCTTTACTACCATTAGTTGAATTAAGAATTAACGACAGCAACGAGTATTGTTGACAAAATCTGATAAGCAGAAATGTTCACTCCCATGTAATTAGAAACTATTTTGCATTGAAAAACAAGCTCCAAAAGCGATTTACTAGTCCTGTTGTCACAATAACCAAATCCCACCTCCTCACACATCTAGCAATGAGAGGACTCAAGAAAACATGCTTGGATAATACTACTCATTGCATTAAATTCTCATAATGAGAAGGTTAAAACATGTTGTAGCTATGAGTGATAAAGCACAAACTGGAACTACATGTTCAAAGAATTTTTCTGTTGAATACTATTTAAAACACAAACACATAGGCAGAGAATGGCTATGAATAAACTTGTGATTTCCTGTGTTCATGTAATTATTAATGGGCAAAAATCATGAAGATAAAATGTGTTAAATAATAATAATAATACAATATTTAATTTTTTCTGTTAGGTGTTTTTTCAGATCATTTGTAATTGTCATTTTACTAAAAACTGATAAGAAACAATCTATAGCAATATTACTCAATAATTAACAAAATATCAACATTCTATTTATTAATAACACATTAAGTGTTCTAAAAGACATTTTTCAAAATAAAACTTTGATTATAAAAAAATTGAAGATATTGCTAGAATTGCCAATGCAAAGTTGCAAATCTAGGCATTTGTACCATGAATAAGTACCAACTAATAGTCTTAATTTATATCAGTCATACATATTTCACTATTATATACACTCATACATTAATCACAAAATGCTGGGTAGTGACACTTCAATTCAAGCAAATGTTTTTCCTCATTGTGGTAAACATTTCTCAGCATATCTTGCACAGAACAGCATAGGAACAAAGCTGATGATTGAATTACATCAGAATTTTAAAAATGATACTCTGAATAAAACCTTAATGTGCTGGATAAGGATTTGGGATGTCTTCATTTTAATTTCTAAAACAATCTTTAAATATAGCACCCTTCTGATCCCAGACTTACATTTACTTAGATATTTCAAGCAAAATTGACTTTTTACTCCATTAATTATACATCATTTACCAATACTGATTTTGTATCAATGAAAATATTGTACAGCAATTATATAGGAATAAAAAAAAACTCAGAATATACAAACAGGATTTTGAATTTAAATGCACAGGAACCTAAAATTCAAATTTGACGTTAATTTACATTTTAAGGATATGTATGTTTTATTTGAAAGTAGTTGATTTTGACAGTTTGACTTGGCTCATTGTCTCGAATTATTTTCTTTTGTTTCAAAGTTGAGTTGAACTAAACAAATAATTAATCAAATTCTCAAAGTTAAACTGTGGTAGTATGCTTCATACTTTTAATGCAATGCAGAAGTGTCAACAATAAATATATCATGGCTCTACATCAAGAAATCCCACATCAAAAGAAGTTACATTCTTGGGAAATGATCAATCAGAACCACCTGAGTTTTTAAGAAAACAAGATTTAGTATTTTTTTTAAACTCCGATAATTTAAATTCTCACTTGAATTATCTGAGCATTGCCTTAAAAAATCAATGATGAATGAAACAAGTTTTTAACAATGTTTACATTAATAAATCAAGAGGAATCAACTTTTCTTTAAATTGGTCTAAGCTGACCACAGAATTAAGCAATGAATATGGCAAGAGTTTTTGTATAATGCAACCATTTTTCATTACTTTTTTCAAATTCAAAATGAAAGAATACAAATGTCTTTTCTGGAAACCGAATCTGTGATAACCGAGTTTTCAGACTACTTCTCAAGTCACTTTACCGTGACAAGATGTTGACGAAAGATGAATGTGGTGAAGAACAAGAGGAACTAAGGGACAAACACTAAAATTACAGAAACATATAGAATGATAATGATAGAGCTTTAAGAGAAAACATTTGCAAAGTAGAGACTAACTGTGTCTATCCATAGTGGAGGTTTTGGCCTGTAAAACAACTGTAAACCTTTACAAAAATTCAAAAACAAACCCACTTAATGGATCTGTGTGAATGCTTAACTTCTATGTCCATTCTTTCACGTTAACACATTCAATTAAAAACTAAGAGAAAAGACAGTTCCTTAGAGAAAAATACAAAAAGAAAATAGGTTACATTAAATATGTTTAAAATTAACCAATCCAATACTCATACTTCAACTCAATTCCAATAAAACAAGACTTAAGCCAGAAACACACACTAAAATAGGTTTGCAAGAAGAAAATAATACCTAAATGAAAGGGTGTGAATGAAAAAGATCAAAACCACACATTTATTTTAACAAAACATAATATAAGTTAATGAAAACCATTGAGAAATGATATAATCGTCTTTAAAAATGAAATCATTACCACAAATTATTACTCAATTTTGTAATGCTGTTCTCAGGACTATGTAAATAATATATTTTTTTTATAAAGAATCTCTGTTAAATCATGGCTTAAATGTGAATCATTCTTACCTCTTCAAATTACAGATTGTAAACAAATTCATTTCCACAAGTTTTTCATTCCCTCAATATGGGAAAGTATGTTCACTAATTATGATATACTCTACAGTCTATTTCTTATACAAGGTAAGACATCAACAGTACATTAGCTCATAATTAGTTATTATCACTCATTATCACAGAGATCCAAATTTAACAATTAATGGCACACTACATGGTAATCTAAGTACAAATATATTATGTTCTGTATCTTTTAAGCACAATATGGCACACATTTCTATCCAAGAATACATATTTCTTATGTAATTTTTTTTCTCTTCATGCCTACATTCTTCAATTAATTCACATTTACAAAAATAAATGTTTCAAATAAATACCTATTTGCGCATTTTTCATCACTCTTTCACACTTCAACCACGTTTCAAATGAATGGGTGAAAACCAGGATGGTGTAAGTGACATTTTATAAATTCTGAGAAAAACATGTTTATTGTAGGCTATATTGTAGTGGCAATGTATTTTTGTGGTTTTAATGATGAAACAAAGCACCACAACTTTACAGTAATATTGGACTTAAAGAAACAATTTCTCAGAATTTATAAATGTCACTAACACGCATTCAAATGATGTGTTTCCTGTATTTTTCCTTTAAATTCATATAACATTTCATATGATTCATATAAAAAAATTAATTCATATGCACAATACAAATGAATGTAAGGCACATCGAAATTATAATTTTTAAAATAAATTAACACCCATTTTAAGGTGTTCTACTATCTTCTGTAAGTCATAAGATACTTATAAGAGCAATAGTTTTGTTACAATACCAATTTAAAACAATTTTGAAAACATATTTTTAATTAATTTCTCTTTGTTGTTATTCCCTATTTTTTCACAAATAATTTTCTAGTATCCACTCATCTGTTTACAAGTAAATGCCTTCATCCTTATTCTTAACTTTAAGAACATCCAATATCCTTTCTAGGAAATAAAGATGGTTTTAACACAAAACTAAAGGACAAAAAACTACATAAAATATAAATTAATTTCATATTCAACTGTTTGAAGTCCAAGAAAATCGTGAGATTTGAAGGAATCTCATTTGCAGAAGAGAAAATACTTCAAAAATCCTTCACCAGCACTTTAAGGCCCAGACTATCAATAATTACTTTTTAACTTACACAACACACATTTAAAACTCTAAAACATTACTTAACCTCATTGTAACAACAAAAATATTTGTATTTGCTTCACATATCAGAAATAAAATATTAATCAAAGCATCATAATATTTTTCAATTTTTTTTCAATTTTTATGTAGATACAAAATTAAAGCTGTAAATTTAATCATTAAAAACAGTAATCTTGAGGGAGAGAAATGATAAACATAATAATAATAAATGATAAATCATTAACTTAACAGATGTGACAACGAAAAATTTCTCTTAAATTAACATCCAAAAAACCAGAGAAAAGCTCTAAGAATTAGATCCTCGTTTAAATCTGAAATGAAAACATTTGTTCCTTAATACATGTTCATAAACTTAAAGAGACTTGAAAACATTACAATTTCATTAAAAAACAATTTTTTTGAAAAAGTAGATTTAAGTTATCTTTTTATTTTTAGAGTTCAAGTTTGGAAGGTCTCCACTGAAATGATGTAAAGTATGTCAGTCCCTAATAATTAAGTAGACATAAATATGTGAAACAAATAATTAACAATAAATAAACAAGAATAACAAATATTTTTAACAATAAATAATACCTAAATTTTTCATAAGTTCACCTTTGCACCTTTTGTTTCTTTTACATGAAATGAGTGAGACAACATCTGAACTGGATAACAATAATATTGAATGAAATTTTGCAAATACTAATGCAGTAAAATCTGTGTAAACCGGAATCGACTGTGACAAAAAAAAAAACTGTTTTAGGAAGGTTTCCTTTTATGCAGGGTTGTCTATTTTATGACACTTGTTATATTGATATTTCCTTCCTCAAACTAGTAGTAGTTTCCTAAAGTATATTACATTATTATAAGAAACATATTTCTCACAATTTATAGGAAAATCTTCACAACTTGTGCACTAAAATAATATGTTTGTTTAATATAATAATGTTTTCAGAAGTTGAAAAGTTGAAATATTTAGAGTTTAATGATTTTTCCAACCATTGTTCAACTGGTTGTGAATCTCCTAGAAACACACCACCTCACTCTCTAGTGGTTGCAGCCGGCCTCCTCACCATCTCTTCTACACACAATGCATCACAGTCCAGAGTACTACAGTAGCTCTCAAAATTGAACGTACACCTTAACTGTACATCTTTATTGATACCACAATTCTTCTCATATTAATATTTTTGAAAACAAAATATGTAATTTTGATACCTGAAGTTTCCTAGAAGGACTAGTGCAAATCAAAAGCAGAAAATTGCTTTATTAGGTGTAAAATTAAATATTTTGTGGGATGCCTACAAATAAGCATTTCACAGAAATGAACACACACTATCCCAAGCAGGCTTTGAAACATACCTCTTGAAATGTTTTTTTGGGAACAAAGTTATAACAAACTGATTAGTTGATGGTCAGATTTGCATTAAATTGAATTGCATCATCAAATTGAAATGGCCCCGAGAAATAACAATGGAGGAACGAACATTTAGTAAGAATTTAGATATGAGGGAAAGATCTCTCCACAGTATTGCGCTGACAATGGGAAGACCTCATTCAACTATTCAAAGTATGGTAGATCAATTCAAGTACAATGGCAGATTAATTAATAAAATAGACTGAGGTGGAAATCCAATACTCAACAAACGAGATAAAATAAAAATTGTCAATAACATCAGCAGGAATGCTCACCAAAGTGACGTTAAAATGACTCTGTAGGTGGTTTTAACAACACAGAGAACTGTATCCTCAGAAACTGTTTGAAAGGCACTACGAGATGCAGGTTGCAATGGGAGAGTAGTGAAGAAGCAGCCTTTGATTAGTAAGGCAAATCTGTACAATATACTGTAGTTCGTGAAATATTATGGTAACCACCCATTGGAGTACTCCAAACAGTGATTGTTAGCAATAAATGTAAATTCAAGATATTTGGATCGCATGGCCATCAATACATGTGGAAGAGGGTAAGCGCAGCATTAGAAGATGAAACTTTGCTTGCAACTTTAAAGCGCCGGCGGACTCCCTAATGGTATTGGAATGTATGTCTGCTTCAGGGTTCGGGGAACTCCATTTGATTGATTTCATAGTTGACAAATTTGGATATTTATTAATTTTAGAAAGTAACGTCAAACAAAGTGCAGCCAATGTTGCATTGGGGCCAACATATTACTTTCAGGAGGACAATGGTTCATCCATACAGTGCATATTGTGAAGTTATGGTTGTGCCAAGTACCAAAGTGTCTTGAAATGGTGCCACTATCACCCAATCTCAATCCTAATGACAACTTTTGGTGGGAATTGGAAAAAAAATTGCAGAAGCATAAAATTTCGAATAAACAAGAGCTCACAAGGGTAATCTCTGAGAATGAAAGAAAATCGCTCCTGAATTTACAAGAAGTTTGTAAGATCAATGCCAACGTGAATAGAGGTTGTTACTTGTGCTCAAAGTCATTCCACAACATTCTAACTTATTATTTTTTGTTTTTCTTGAAGGAAAATTGCATGTACGTTCACTTTTGTGGCGAGTTGTATATATTATTTATTCAGTTATTTCAAGATATTTTTGTAACGTATGAGTGAAGAAGGTCTATTAATTAATTAATACCTACATTTATTTTTTACGTCACGATTCTATAATAAATATTTTTTCTATGCAATTTTTATTTTTTTTACATGGTAATTTTGACAGTCGCTTTTTCTTTTTCTGATACCCTTGCATGGCCTTGACCATGTGTGATGTGTGAACAGACATCATGCCCATACAAATTCCCATGCTCAGAGAGCCAGGAGGGAGGGAATTTCCCTACCACGAAAACCTTGAGAAACAAATGGCCCCAAGGTCGAATTCTATGCTGACAGCTTAAGCCTCTCAACTTCACAGTCTGGCTGCCACGAGTGAAACACATATCACAGGGACTTGCAGATTCTTTAACAGATTCTCAGATCTCTTGGCAATTGCATTAAATTCCCAGAAATTTTGTTTTATAAGGTTTTCTTTTGCTGCAAAACATTGAATTGAATTGTATTTGCCTTATTTTACGTGGCGAGACTCAGGCCATCAGGCCCGCAACATTAAAAACCTTCCGCTTCCATGATGGGCAGGTTACATTTTATGCTAGATAAAATGCCATTTAACTTCACGGGCCAGAAAAATTTTCCAGTTAAGGCAGGTTTCCGGCTTGTACAGGTTCCGGTTTAGGCAGATTTTATTGTATTACAAAAACATCTCCTTTCAGAGAAAACATCACAACAAAATAAATGTTATAACACTACATGAGAATATGAATGACTGATAAAATCACAATAGGAGCAAAGGATCACTTATTTTGCTTTGAAACTCCGTATTTTGGTGTTATTACATGTGACTGTCCCTAAATACACACAACATACTCATATTAAAATACAATTAATTAATGCAAATACTGGGTATTTTAACAATATTTTGAATATTTTGAGAATATATGCAAGTTTATTTTTAATTCAAAAAACAAAACAAACTATGAAGAAAACAATCAAATATACTTACAAAGTTACAATAAATATTTTCTCAATCACATAGTCCACACAACACAATTTCAAACTAACTAATTCTTTTTAATACCCTCAATGTATAAAATCATAAATATTTTTCTAAAATGAGAGAAGGTACGAAAAGTTACTGAGAGTCATACAAATGCAAATGCAATTGCTGTCAAAGCAGATAAAAAAGACAGTTTCGTTTGGAATCAAGAGAAAAGTATTAACAAGGTAGTATGTTTTTAGTGTGATGCTGTTAACTCTCAACAACTGAAGAATGCTGCATAAAATCAATTCAAATATTAACAATAGAAATTTTTTAAAAAATTTCTAATTTCTTGCTGACAACATAAAAAGAAGCAAAACACCTCATTAAAATATACAGTAAAATATCTATATTAGGCAAATTCACTTTTAACAGCTTGATAAGGAGAATAGACTTGCTTTAAATAATGTTCTTGAAAATACAGGAAAAATGTGAGTTCCTACTCAATACTTACACAATTTTTCCAGATGCCATAACTCCGTAGATGTAATAGCAACTTTACTTTCACACTATGGAGGTGGTTTCCTAAATGCAGAGAGAAAACAAAAATTTAGGTTAAATCAAATAGAAGGCATCTATTTCATGTTTTTGTGTTTTAAATTACTTACATCTTCACGTATAGTTGTGGATTATAATAATGTATTGAGGAATGCAAGCAGAAAAGCAATTACACAATAAATATAGCACAAACAGCATGCATGTAGGAAGAAATAAATTACCTAATTGGAAGGCGACTGGAAGATTCATTAAGCTTCAAATTACTCATGTAGCTATTTAGACTACCAAGGCTCAAGCGCTGTGTTCTTCTAACATTGCCACTGGTACTTATGCCACCAGTTGGACTTGTTGATCGACTATTAGGAGCTGTTCTTTGACGTGTTCTAACAATACCATTACTAAATGAGTTGGTAGGACTGGATGCCCTACTTCCACCAGGGCTGGAATGGCAACTTGCAGGTCCTCGAGGAATTTTACTCAGACTTAATCGATTTCTCTTCCTTATCATCAAATCCAGATTTTCATCAGATGTAGAATATCCTACTTTCTCTTCCACTGGCTTCCCTTCTTTTCTCAAATTAACTTTATCAACATTATTAGTATTCATGTTATAAGGAGCTTGAGTTTTCTTCTCAAACTCTAACGATTTGGGAGAGTTTATACTCTCCAAACTGGCACGTAGACTTCTCACATGAACACTACTATTTTTATGACTTTGCTCATAAGATGGTGTTTTAAGTTTTTCTAAATCATCTCTCTCCAAAGAGCTGTGCCTTCGCTTGCTTTCTACAGCCAAAGACTGTGGATGTTTAGGTATTTGAGAAGATTGCCTATCTTCAACACCAGCATTTATTTCAAATTCACTTCTACGCTCAAATGAATTGATTCGGCTGTTGTTTTGCTGGGGCATATAAATGAGACTCCTCCTTTTATTTGGACCTTCTGAGTTTCTGTTCTCATTATCAGAACGACGACTAGGAATAGCAGTCTTTCTTAAAGTCACATCGCTTTTCAATTTGGAGCCACCTGTAGAATGTTCCATCTCCATATAAGAATAACGAGTAGCATTTGTTGTTCCCAAGTAACTTCGTTTTACAACAAATGCAGATTTATTGTTTTTCCCTTCATCAATAGAAGCCTTTTCTATATAACTGTGCCTTCTGTTTCCACTATTAATTCCACCTTTTCTGGCACTGGGATTGTCAGTTTTACTGATTAATACTGATGTTTTAATAGCTTTATCTCCATCCATGTAACTATGTCTTCTACTTACAACTGAAGAATCTTTTTGTTTTGACTCAATTGTTCCGAGCCTACTCTTTGAACTACTTGGACGTGAGTGATCAACTTTATTACACAAGTACGTATCAGTATTCTGTCTAGTTGAACTGCTTAGCACAGACCCTTTAGGAATTATATTACCTGACTGGCCAGTATTCTTGACAGTGGCATTGCGATCAACTACTCCAGAGGATATATTTTGTTTTATCCTCATTTTTGGCTCAGAAGTTCCAGCTTTATTTGTGGATGAGTTAAATGTCTGTGACATGGAAGATGGCACTAAAGTTGATGATACTGACGCTGATGAGGATGATGATGAAGCCACTGCTGCAGAGGCTGTCGATTGTGGAAATGAAGCTGTTGTTGCTGCTGATGATGATGATGATGAAGGTGAAGACGATGATGATGATAGTAATGTGGGGGAAGCTGAAGTCATAGAAAATTTTTCTTCTTCTAGAATATTTGAAGGTACAATCAGAGATGTCTTAGGAGTAGTTGCCATCGCAGTAATATAATGGGTATTCGAATTTCCACTATGCCCATTCATACTATGATTCTTGAAAAGGATTTCACGTAGATTTGGAATTCTTGATGGAAATGTAGGAAGGTCACCAGACGCTGCCAATTGCTGAGGAATTCGAATTCCAGCATCCACATAGAATTCATCCTCCAAACTGCAAAGAATAAATTTTCCCCCAAGTAAAAAAACAGTATCACAATTCTGAAATTTTTTTTGTGAACAAGGAGTTTGGAGCAGGAAGATGAAATTGGAAAAAATGTTCCATTTTATGATTGCTTGATGATAGCAAGAAATTTTGCACACTCTAGGAATTAAATGGCAATATTTCTTTTTAAAGGGAGCAAGAATGGGCAAAAATGATGAAAATATAATTTTTTACTTTTTTGAATCGTTAATAGTTTTCTTTCTAGTATTGGGCACATTTTCTGGTAACAAGGGTTGAATAGTGTCAAAATATTGATGTTTGTGTTTGCCCATCATATTATGGGCTAGGAATGCACTGAAAAGTTTAGAAGCCGTTTCCCTTAAGTTAAAAAATATTCACAATTAGGGATCATTTTCTCAAAAACTACTAACAGGAGGATGCTCAAATTTTTACAGAGCATGTAGCACACCAGTTTATAAACTTTAATGCGACAGCTTTAAAAAATGTTAAATACTTAAGACAATATTCTTATAAATGTTACTACTTTTAAAACAAAACCAACTACAATTAACAAACATTTATAATTAAAAAAACAATAACATTTTTTAAAAAAAGCTTCATTAAAATACTTATAAAGAATGTAAATAATTAATCTTCACTCACATAAAATTTTAAGTCTGTAAATTAAATAGCTTCTGAGAAAATGTTCCTCACATTAACATTGGCGAGTTAGGCCATTCCGGCTCCCCATAAAAGAATAGCAAATCACACACTAGCTTTCCAGAGATAAAAATACAAGTTTTAACCCATTAAAATTTGTCTTAATAGCCAAAATACATGAAGACACTCATCATGATTTTAGAAACCATGTGATATAACAGTAAATATAGGTGTCTCATAGTTTCAAAAAGTACTTCAATACTTATAAGTGCTTTAACCTAAAAGATTACTTTGGAGAAAGTAACTTACAGAGGAAGGGAACATCCATCAATTATGTAATGCAAATTTGGGGTATTTTGAATACCACTTCTCCCCCTTATAATGCACCTGCTAACAAGTCTGATACCCTCAAAATAATCACATAACAATTATGACATCCCCCCCCCCTCCCGCATTTACAAGAATTCACAGAAGCAAAATCATTTTGTATTCATTTTATTACTGTTATATATTAAAACTGATTACGACCTAAGTCAATAAAAGATTATGAAGATATCTATGATTCAATAAAAAAGATTCCATTTATTGTAACAATTTATACATATAACATTAATTTATATATATTTAAAAAAATAATTAGTTAATATTGCAATGTTTTGGTTCAAGACTAAAAAAAGAAATTATTTTAGCAAATGTTGAAGAGGCAAAAAATAAATAAATAAATAAAGTAAAAACAAATAATAATAAAAATCAACATCTTACACCCCCTCCACTTGTATAATGCAGTGTAACGTTGCCTCAAACCCGTCCCTCCCCTCTTTAGCATTATGTAATTTATGGATGATCCCTATTCACAAACAATAACATTTTTATTAGCTACTTTCCTTTGAAGAAACAAAGGCCTTAAGAAATGAAGTGCCATTTATTATTCCAATTAATAAATGCCAAATCATGGAAAACAAAATATATGCAAGCACAAAAAATAATTTATATAAATTAAGGACTGCTTGTTCTTCATACACCTATTAAATACCAATTCTTGGTAAGGGTTTCAAGGAAATTTGAAATTATTCATGTAAATAAAGAATTTTGTTCAACAAACATTTAATTTAAATTTCAAACTTATACCAAAACTTATGAAATTGGCAAATAACATTAATTTAAAAAATGTGAATCAAGTGCAAATGGTTAGATGTGCAAAAAGAAAAAAAGGAAGAGGACCATCTTCATTAAATACAATTGATACTCAAGTACTCCCAGTAAAATAACGTGCCCCTTTGATTGATTCAAAGATGTCATATTTTTCTTGTATGTTTAGCAAATAAAAGCATTCAAAGCAGTAAGGTTATAAGTGTGTGTATAATGAAAATTTAGCAGATAGCTTCTAAAGTTTACTGTAGAACTACTTCTCATAAAACTAAACTAAAATACACTACAACTAACTACAACTTAATAAAAATAGCCCTCTAAGAGAAAGTTAATCACAGAGTTTATAATGCTGATATTTTTTGCACAAATAATAATTACCAAACAAGTGAGAGGATATTAAAAGAAAGTTCTGTAATTCTTATTAGGATGAAAATTTTGGAAGAAATTAGCTCATGAAAAAATATAAACAAAGTTTGAAAATTGGATGGTTGCTAAACATAGGAATTTTGAATGAGAAGTTGTTGTCCTTGCACATCTGATTGAGCAGGTTGGATCTCCTGCACTTGCCAGGACAAAACTCATGATTATTACCATAATATCTGCCTCATTAAATATTAAGTCCTCAGCGTGCAAGCCATCTACCTTATGGTGCATAAATCAAATGCAATTTTAAAAATCAAATAAGATATTAACATTGGAATTTTTAATTAAGTAAATAAATGTATGAAACAAGTAAACACTGAAAATTAACATAAAAAGCATAGTAATTTTCCCAAGATGCTGTGATCAGTTTCATTATGGGAGCATGGGATGAAAAATGTTCCTTTAAATAATAATAATAATAATAATAATAATAATAATAATAATAATAATAATAATAATAATAAAAGTGATTTTAATTAACTGCTGAATAGTATGAACACAGAAATATATTCAGGTTTGACATTTTCAGAACCTCAAGACATGTTGAGTTACTCAATTTGTGAATTGGTGAGGTGATTGATTAAAGGTTCTGTTTTTAGGGGACTAAATTGGACCAGCCCAGAATGTTTACTATTTTGTCTGATCAAACATTTAATTACACAAAACAATAAAAAATACATTTCATAAAGACCATCACAAATTAAACACCATTAAATATTTTTGTTTTAAAATTGCAGTAAATGCATCTTTAATCCTATGAAAATCAATAAATTTGAAAGAATTTTAAATAATATCATTCTGTAAAATTGCTAATCACATACAAGTATTCTGGTCATTTGTTTAGAAGGATATTTGTAATGTTTTTCACCGATCATCATGTCGATATTACTGTACATGAAGGTGGTGATCCTAAAAAAATAGCTAATTTCTGTACAGAGGTATCAGTTTGAAACAAAATTAAATATGCTAAGATAATATTAAATAAAGAAAATAGTGCATGGAAATTGAATTCTTCTTCTGGAGCATCTTTCACAAACTATAACAATTGCAAAATCAATATTCGGGTGCATAAGTAATTTGTTGTTCTTTATAATTATGATTTGTTGTATGTTCAGCAATAAATGGTATATTTATTCTCAAGTCTTATAACATATACTTAAATATGGCTTTTAAAAATTTGTTTTTTTTATCATAATAATTTAACATTGACTCTTTTTTGCTCAAACATTCTACTCTCAGAAAACTGTGATAATAATGCCTGCCTGATATTATATTTTATGCAGAAAAAGTGATGATGAAATGTTTTGTGCCATAAAATACTATTTTATGAATGATTTTCTGCAGCAAAAAAAAGGTCATTTATAATGGTGGTAAACAAAAAATTCATTTTATATACTTGATAAGCATGTTATAAGATGATTTAATAAAACAAGGATAAAAAATATAAAAGGTTTTGAATTATTTTCATGTTTATTCTTCTTCTTCTACTTTTTGAATAGAGTTAAAAACAGCAACATATGTAATGTGCAGGACATTACTAAGATATAGAATACATACAAGTGAAGTAAAAAGAACATCAGGAAAACTACGAATTCCTTATAGTTTATAATCAAATGTATGGTGAATGCTGACTTTAAAAACACTAAATATTTCTACATGCAAATAAATAACCAGGAATTACCCAATTAAAACATAACAACACACTCACATCAATTGAGTTCTTTCCCTGATATATTTCAGTTATGGCTAATACCTAATGATTAAATTCCTGATTTTCTAGAATTTATATGTTCAGTTACTTATCTTTCAAATGTTAAGATTACACACTTCAAACCATTATAGCCATGGTTTACATTACATTTACTGAACTAATTTTAAGATGCTACAATCATAACTTGCCTTGCCATTGCTGGATTTCTCACAACAGTTGTAGGTGTTCCACCTAAAAATGAACAAAAATGTAATTACTTCCTGGTTTAAAAAAACTCACGTGAGGAATGATTTTATAACAGAAATATAAGTCTACAGAATTACTCTTACTTTTTATAAAGGTGATGTGATACCTCATAGAGAAAGCTTAATTTTTTATATTTGATATGTTCAAAAGTGACAGAAGCTAAAAGTGTTGGGTAATATTTTCTGCATATTTTTATTCCTAAATTTATATATCCAGAGAATGAATGCATTTGGCTACAGAGAACATAAACCATTGTTCCCAGTCCCAGTTTGCTTTAAGTGCTCAATGACCTGTTTGCTAGTTGATGAACATTGACTAGTGATGGATATTAGTTTAGAATATTTTTTTGTCTTGTTTTTCTCTTTAAACATTTGTTCTGCAACAATGGATTTGGGTTTGCATTGTTATTCTCTCATCTTAACAGTTGCACATCAATGCAGCAGCATGATGGGTCATTGATGAATCCCAGTGTCCCTTTTTCCTAAACTTTGTCTAGGTAAAAAGATCTTTTAATACTTATATAATTATGTAGAACCTTTCTGAACCCATATCATTAATGGTTTCATTGTCGTAGAGGATACGTATGCAACTGACACAGTGTAAGACAACATGGCAACTGTTATAATACAAAGACAATTTTTTTAATGGTGGAAAAACACTAGATAACAGTCTTTAATTTTAGTGCTTTGTTAAAGCACTTGGCAACTGCAATTTTGTTTCTCATTTAACTTTGAAATATTTTTCTTTCCAGTACAAAATTAGAGTTTTCATTACAAAATACAAGAATAATTTTAAAATTACTACCTGACAATCTTCCACGAGGAGCAGCAGCTCTGCAACAAGAAAGATCATTTTAGAAAAGTTACCTATATTTAACAACTAAATTTTAATTTCAAACTAAGCATAAGAATTCATTCTCAATAAGAACATGTATTTCTGTACTTTGGATCAAACCTTTCCCAACTTTGTGCCTTTCCTGGTAAGGTCAAACGTTCTGAGTCACAGATGCCTGATCATTGATACCTGGATTCAAATCTCTAGAAGATTCCCAACCTGCATTATTACTGTACTTTCTATTTTACAGTATGATTTCAGGTTGATTCCCATTAATGAGCAGCCAAACAGCTATCATGATCCCTAGTTCTGATGAATCAATTATCTAGAATAAGACCTGATTTGCCAACTCATGTATTGTTCTCCTCCCACCAGGAACACCTCACCAGGAGGTGTTCCTGTTGAATTGTTGAAACATGCCACTGATGTTGCCTTGGAATCTTTGGTAGAAATATTTAATATCTGAAAGGAGAAGCTGTACCAAAAGATTGGAAAAGTGCATATATTACATCACATTACATTTACCTAAAACAGCTGATGGAAAAGCCCATAGCCTATGGATCCCCATTACATCTAACTTTTGTAGACCTAAGAACAGCCTACGATTGTGTACCAGTGGAAAAGTTGAGAGATGCAATGAAAGAGAACAACATCCATGGGCAGTATATAAATGCTGTAAAGAGATTCTATGAAGGAAATAGAAGCCAGATTGAAACTTATGAAGGTTTATCAGTCTTTCCCGACTAAAAAGGGATTAAGACAAGGATGTTGTTTATCCATTAACACTCTTCAAAATATATATTTCATCCGCCGTGAGAAATGGACAAGAAAGGGCACTAAAATGGGAATTACGATAGGGGATGAAAATATTCATACTTTATTTTCCTAGTGGATTCTAAGATTAAAAATTTAAAAGATTTTAAGTATTTAGGAGTAATTTTGACTGAACAAGGTATGGATCAAGCTAAAATTTTATCAAACATTGGAAAGGGTCGACAAATAATCAGTAAATTAAACCCACTTCTTTGAAGTAAGGATACTAGAAAAATAAAACATAAATCCAACTGCTTAAGTCTTTGGTAAAGAGTGCAGTATCATTTGGCTCTGAAATTTGGATACTTAACCAAGATAATTAATAGCGTTGAAAACAGTTTTTGGAGAAGATGCTGTGGAGTCACGCTGTTTGATCATGTTGAAACAGAGATGATAAAAAGGCAATTAAATATGAAGGATGCTTTAGTGATGTTTAAAAGAAAAGATAGTTATGCCACTTAGAAAGGATGGATTCAGAAAGTCTTTTCAAAAAGGTTTATAACAGGACGCAAGCAAGATGGAAGACAAGAGGTCAGCCAAGAGTGAATTGGAAGGATGGTGTAATAGCGGCAATGGAAAGAAGAGATATGTTACAAGACTTGGCATGACAAACAAAATGGCGCCTTGGATTTGATAAAAGCCCAATTAGTGCTGTAAACATTTGCACTACTACTATGTAGTAGTGATGCTCCATGAATGTGAGCATCACTTTCTCTTTTCCTTTTGTGCTTCTCTTTGGCTGTTTTGCTGGAATTAAAAGCTAGACTTTCCATTCCTCACAAAACATATTACACAAATTCAAGACATGAAAAAGTAGAACAAAGCAAATAAAATAGGCGGTTTATAGCCTGCCAGTTATTGACCCTTTGCATGATACCTGAAGTGGCACATTTATCCAGCATGATCTATTGGTATGAATATCAAGATAAAAGGTTTTGTAAGTGGCATTGAAAACTATATAATAATTAGTAAGGATCCAAGAGATATCAACCACAAAGTTTATTAATAATATATTTAATATTATAAATAATTAACCAGACACAACATGTTTCGCGTTTCTGAAAACTGTGGTCTTGGATGCTTACTAATCATTTTGGATTACTACAATATCTCCACTGCTACCAAGCAATTTATTGAAAACAACATCATGGATCTTAAGGGTACGACACTGAATCATGATAGAACTTAGAATTCTTTGAACAAAAAAAGCTATTTTCAGAACTTCCGACTCTTAGATCACTTTGCTCCACCACATTTCAATTATAAAATGTTTTATCATCCACAAAAGAAATGGATGTACCTATATTCAGCAGCTTTCCCACTTCCTTTCTTAATACCTCCTGGAACTGGAGCAACTGGTGGAACTCTAGATGGAGGCACTGGAACTAGAAATAAAGCAAATTTTGAAACAAATTATTTCAGCTCCTGATTCTTAAGTATTTAAATGTACATTTTCAGTAAACATAGAAACTTTACAGATACTACAGAAACTCTTTAATACCTTCATTTCTCCTTCGCGCTCCCTCTACTTTTAAAGCTGCCAACCTATTTTCTTCCTCTGCTTTGCGTTGATCATCTAGGTCATCTTTTGTCAGTTGTGCTGGAGAAATCTAGATTGTATGTTAATTTAAATTGTTTACCATCAAATATAATATATTCAACAACAACATTAATACATTAATAATAATAATAATAATAATAATAATAATAATAATAATAATAATAATAATAATAATAATAAAACTTGTAATAAAATATATAGCAACATCAGCATAACATCATTATTATTTGCATATCTTTGATCTTGGTAATCATAAGTACTTACAGATTCATCTCGTATAGGCATTCGGTCCATTTTTTCCATTGATGCAACCAACATTGATCTAACATCACGATCTGTTTCATTTGCAGCCATTCGCCGCACACTTGATTCTAATGCTACCTGTAACTTCTTATCTGACGGCAGTCTTAACATAGCTTTTAAGCGTGGAAAATACCCAGCAACTTGCATGCGTACATTGGCAACTTTATCCTCTGAAAAACAAGAAAGAAGGAAATGCATTTTAATAAACTGTTAATAAAATTTGTAAGTGTGCAGAAGCCAATTTCTCTTTACAGTCTCTAGAAACTTTAAGGACAAACCATCTTTTTCACTAGCATTTTTATACAGTGATACACAATTTTTTTTATTGAGGTAGTTTATAAGCAATTAGGTGCTACACACATTCATAATTGATAGATGATTGTTAGGGTTCCAAGCATGACAACTACTAAGGTCATTAGCCCCTATTGCATGTTTTTGCTCAGGAGGGGGCAGTGGTCTTCCCTCACTGGATGGCGATATGTGGCGCTGACCTACCATTGGCTAACCAGGTATCTCCGCAACCAGGTACCTCCCAACAGCGGGGCACTGCCTCAGCCAGAGCAAGCTCTAAGCTTCCAACTGGTCTCTTGGCATGTGTGATAATGTAGTGCATGTTGGTGTAAGTGTGTGTAAGGGGTGAGAATAGGACAAAGATAAGGTAGGAAAGATTGCACAAGGTTTGTGGTCTGTTTGTTAGGGTACTGCCATGACTTTCGCCTGGTATTGATTGGAGAAATCAAGGAAAACTACAGATCAGAGCAGTTGGCCGCTAGAATTCTGTTGCAGACAGTGACTGAATTTGACCTAACTGACAAGCTAGTGTCGAACATTCTGCCACCATTGGCTCTCGACCCTAGGTCCTCCCGGTCAGGACTGCAGTGACATCAGTGCTCTGAGCAATCACATTTATCTAATATTAATCCTATAACAAATTCAGTCCATTTCTGTGCATATCAATTTAATAATAGGACAAAATCATGAGAGATCAATGAGCCTGTCAATAAAATAAACAAGTAGAGTAAGGAAAGCACATACTTTCTCGCATTGTTTCCAAATGCTCTGCAATATCATACATAGATCAGCAAAAGTGTTTTCATGCATTAAATTATTTTTTCCCTTCCAGACTCGAACTCAGATCCTGCTCAGATCCTCAGATTCAACGGGCCAGCACGCATACCACTACGCCACAGAAGCGCCTCATTCTATTTGTGATTATAGTTCCTTCAAATGGTTTTCAATAAAGTTTGTGAAATTCTCTATTCTTTCTGAGGCAACAGTGAATTGTGACAAGTAATATTTCCAGACCAAGACTCGAACCAGTGAACTTTCCAAACCTAAGAGGTAAGCCAACAATTAGACTATGTGGCCACCCGCGTAGTTCATGGGTTTTACACTTGTATAACAGTAAAAAGCATATGGTGGTTTCAGTTCTAGCATTAGGACGCTGAAAAATTGCAAAAATGTGAAAGAAATGTCCTTTGGGTGACCAAAAAAGATGTCTGTGAAGAGAAGTCACAACTGAAATCTAGGTTCATACTAACGAGATTAGAGAGCTAAATACTATGAGAAAGTCTGTGCCATTCTATAGCACTGGTTTTATGTATTATCACACGATGTTAAATACAAGAAGAAACTTGAATGAAAATATTTCGTGGGGGTTATCAGAAAATATTTTTAGAAACCTTTGGACACTAATTAACCGAAATCAGTTCACTTTTTCAAAAACTTGTACATTACCTTTCAAAAGATCTGATTTTTTACAACAGGCTTTGCAAACAACAGACAAAGCAAAAATCACCGTCTCCAATTTTGTAGGTTTGAAAGGTTAATGTTCTTTTGGCATTTTCGAAAAATTGGAGCGATAGCTGAAAATGTGACTAGCACCATATATTTATCCATCCCTTAAAACATATGTGGAGAAAATTTTAAGAAAAAATAAGAAGTTTTTTTTAAGATTTTTGTTGTTGTAAATTTCAAGTGCTAATTATACAAAAAACTAAGCTTTTTAAGCTAAAAAACGAAGCTTTTGTTTTCTTCAAAAATTGTATACAACCTTTTTTAAAGGGCTAATTTCGTCCAACAGACCTTGTCTATGGCAAAAATCTCTATCTACAATTTTTTTTAGTTTTAATAACATTTTGCAATTTTTGAAAAACTGAAAAAATACCCCAAAATATGACTAGTATAATATTTTTTTACTGACCTCTGTTACAAAAGAAGAAAATTTAAACAAAAAATTTGGAGCAGTTTTTGAGAAAAAAATTTTGATAATATCAATCGTCAAATGCGCAAAAACTACTCATTTTCTCAAAGACTTGTACATGACCTCTTTTAAAAAGCTAATTATGTACAACATAATTAGCTTTTTTAGCTAACATGTTTTATTTGAAGAAAAAACTATCTTTAATAAGTTTTAAAACATTTTTTTGCAATTTTTCAAAAAATTGGGGAAGTGAACGAAAATGAGATCTAAACCATTCTCTTATATGTCCTTCACACTATTTAACAACAAAATTTAATCAAGAAGTTTGGAGCTGTTTTTGAGAAAATTTGGCTTCATATGAAGTACCCTCAAAAATGAAAATATCCTTTTCAAACTCTCAAAGCCACAAGTTCATTCAGATTGATTAAGCGATCACAATATTGAAGAAAGTCAGTTGAACGGTTTAGGCGCTAGCATTGACCATAGACGGATGGATGTTTTGCCGTCAAACGATGTTTCAGTCCCAAGAACCAACAAAACATGGATTCTGGCCACATCATGAATTAGGAGATTTCCTCCCCCTAAATTAGGCAACAGTATTTAGCTGTTTCTTCATTCGTAACCCGGCAATAAGGTTTTTCCCAGTGAAACTTTGGCCTTTTCTGGCGCTCAATTACATAACTTTCTCTTCTTCCGAAGAATTCAAAAATCGAGAAAGTTAAAAGGTTGTCAGACTCAAAGACTTGACACATGTTTCTCTATGTATGTCAATGTACTAAATATGAATCCAAAGACAGAATTTTTCTTTGGCTAGACCATTTGCCTCAAAGCACTACACCAAAATATAAACTCACCATGCAATTCCAGCAGTTGTAAGTAAAAGTGTTCTTTAAAATAATGTCTAGAAAAGATATCCATAGCAGCTCCACACAATTTAGCAAAAGCCATTCTTGCAAAACAGCTTTTTCCACGGCAAAATTCTACAATGTAAAGACAGAACACAATTTAGAAAGTATCTTTGGAAAAAATATGCCAGCTAGGAAATAATATTACCATTTACAATTCGAGTCCTGAGGTCATTTCGTTGGGGAGCTTTAGGATTGTACCGCAAAAATACCAGCAATGTACGAGCAGCAGCTATTCGGCATGGAACAGCTCGCTAAATCAGAAAGCACTTTCATTAGCGACACAAATTATTCTTGCACTTTATTCTCAATCCAAAAAAGTGGGGATGAACAAATGAAGAAATAAAAATGTAATATTATCGAGTTTCAGACGAAATTGATAAAATCTCCTTTACATTTATGTATTAAGTTCAAAACCCCTCTAAAGTTAAATTGAAACAATAAACAATAAACTCTTGGATAATTTATAGAGGGAAGTTCACAAGAAAATTCTGTTTCAAAATTTACAACAGCATGTAATGATAAAATAGTTTAGAATATAAAACTAAAACTCACAGATTTATGAATCCGAGAAAAAATTATTGGAATGAAATAATTATGTAAGAATTCAGAAGGTAAACAAAGAGGCAGGCATTCCAATTGACTCATCAACATAGAATGAAGTCTCCAGTTATGTGTTTCACTGATTTCTGCTTCACATTTAAGAACTGCTCGGCCAATTTCCATAGATTGAGGATCCTAAAAACAAGAACAAAGAAAACAAAACAACCCCAAAAAAATATGAAGACCTAGATATTGACATCTTCAGTGCCTTAGAGCACCATCATAAGTGTACAAGTTATAGTAGAATATATATTAATATTTCTTAATGAAACACATGATTAATTAGTGAATGCTCAGGATGACCAAAAGTACCATGGGTCTTCAGTTACTACGAACAACTAAAAAAGCCCACAATTTAATTCTAGGGAAGGTGGTGGGATAAGTATGGAGAAAAAAAACCTTTGCAAACCACGACCATTTGCCCCTTGTATTCTCCTTTGAGAACATGGAACGGCTTGAAAATTATTGGAGTAAATGATACAAAATAACTGATTAAATCAGATGGTGTGCAGACAGTGGTTGTGTTTTATATGAATTCTCCCACAGAAAGTTGTTTAGACACAATTTAGTTGTGACTGAAAATACATGAATTGGGTCTTGAATCTTAGACCATTTGGTCTACAACTACAGTAAAGAACAGTGATGTACGTGACAATACCAAACGTGTTGTCATAAGTACCAAAGCAGAAATTTTTAAAAAAGATGATTTCCAAAAATCAGTTATCCTACAGTCAAGACATTGTAAGAAGGCTCCTTACTTGGATTTCGTAGTGCTTACTTCAGATTCATTGTGAAATACACGCAGAATTCCTTACAAGCAATTTAGCCTGGGAAGAGAGATCTGTCTCCTCTGAGCCTTTTCATTTTAATTTCTGTTTTTGTCTATTAGGAAGTCTTTGGCTATTGATTTAGGAGCAATTGTCTCTCACTTAAAAAAAAAAAAAGAGAGAGAGACACACAGAATTGAAGAAAAACATGTTCTAGGGAAATGTATCCAGATTAATATATCTTTTTCTTGTATTTTTTTACTCAGCATTTTCAGAAACACTCAAATGCCTTTATCAAAAAACGGCTCCAATTTTTTTCTTTATTTCGAACAAAGAGTGGTAATTGCACTATTTTAATATGATGTAAAGCTAATTTCAGAGATTTTTTTGTTTTTTCAAAAATTACACAAATATAATTTTTAGAAAGATGCCATTGATCCGCCACATATCCAGCAATTTGTAAACACTATTGTATTTGTGAGTTAAAATATTTAAAATGACTTCAAATGAAGTTTTTCGAAAACTCAAAAATTTTCTTTGAAGAAGAGCTTATGAATTTACTGTAATGCTTACACACCAGTTTTTTAAAAACAGTTCCACATTTCTCAAAGGAATTACTATTTAGGATGATGTTTTCCTGTTCTTTAATGATCTTAAAATAATATTTCCGCTCTACAATTAGGAAACCGAAAAATTGAGCAGTGATAAATGGCAGAATGCAAGAACATGTGAAGAGTTTGAATATCTAAGCATGACCAAAGGATATAGAAAACTAATACAGAAAGTCTGTGCCATTATCTCTCTCTCTCTTCCCCCCCACCCTCAATCATACCAAAGAATCCAGGCACCACTTAATTGTCACACTTGATGAACATTTCAACCAATTATTTTACTTGTTCCAGCTCTTCACTAAAAAGAAAATTTTTGCTGTGCTGTTACTATGGAAATCTGCCTTTGCAAGATAATAAATGATGATAAAGATAAAGACATCAACCAATTTTAGATAAACATCGTTCAGATCACAAGTACACGAAATTGAAAGTCTTACCATGTTCTCAGGTCCCAATTCCCTATACTTGGCCAGAAGTTCCATTGTTTTTGAAAGATGTGGAATTAAGCCTTGCAGTACTTCTTCAACATCATCTCTAAGAAGTTTGACAAGTTCTCTTTTCAACTTTCCACAGTTTGGACCTAATACATGTGTAACCTGAAAAATAAATATGTATGTAGCACATGTATTGAATATAAGTACACAAAATTTCATTTAGAAGACAATTTTGAAACACCAAGTCAATTAAAATTACAATTAAAATAGGATGAATTACATTTAAATTATCTGAAGAAACTTTCTAGTACTAGAGCATTTTATGAGTCCATGGCATTTCCTTTTTATATTGATTAAAATTTGGAAATGAGAATATGTAATAAAAAAATCATACTGACAATTTGCCTTCAAATCATACTAGTTCATAAACAAAACATAAACTAGCAAATAAAAATAATGCAACTTAATATGATAGTGCTCTTCAGAAAGTGCTTTATTAGCACATAGTTAATTCTACTTCAAGAACAAAATGGTGGTACAGTAGAATATTTTATCAATTCCCTTAATTTAAATATCTCACCTCATGAAAACCACAAGCAATGGTTCGCCGCACCATGAAATAAGGATCACTAGTAAGGGCACAGAAAGTCGTATAAAGTTGATCGGAATAAGCATCTCCCAAATTTGCACAAAAAATTGCCATTGCTGGAAAATTATACGCACAATTCTGACGGCATAAAATTAAACGGTCAGCATTTCCACTCATATTAAAGTCTGGCATCTGTAAATACAATAAAGTGTAACTATTATTCTGTTAAGAGCTAAGAAGGAAAAGAAAGTGTTATTTCCAAAATAGACAGCAGAAAATTGAAATAAATCCTTATATAACAAATGGTCTAATTCAGAGAAAAATAAAAGTCACATAAAAGATTATGTGACTTTTAAAATAAAGGTGAATAAAAAGAATAAAGATCTTGAGATCTCACAGTAACTCACGAAATCATGTCAAGATCACACAGTGGAAGCAGCAAGATTAAAACTAAACGGTCATCATTTGAAGTAGGTATTAAATAAAAATAAATAATTACTGCAGATATAGAAAGCATTTCAATCAATAAAAATGCAATGTTACTAAGGTTTTCAAAACATCCTATTTTTTCTTCCATGAAACAGAATTCTAACCATGATGAATGAAATGCGTTAAGACTGCACTGATTCAGTACTACTAACTTGTTGCAACAAATATACATCATTTAGTACAATTTCAAATTTAACTATAAAAGACTAAAACTCACAGGGAAAGTTTTACGAGTGTCTTTGACCAGAGTCCCAAGCTGCGCCATATCTTGGTAAAAATGAAGAATCCACTGCTTTTCATTAGGAGCCATATAGTCTACAAAAGATGTCAAGTACTTTATCAACAACAAAGAACATAAAAAAGTATTATAAAGGATAAGCTGAAGCAGTAAAGTACATACTCTGGAGTCCCAAACTTAATTTTCCTATTTGGAAAGAGATGCTAACCAACACGTCATCTTCAGAGCTTCTGGCATGGGTACACAACTTTTTGACTAGAGGCAAAATTGTATTTTTTATAGTATCTGCAACAAAAGGTATCTTTGCATGACAGCAGTTTTTAAACATAACAAATAAGAATTTAAAAATCTTATTAACCTATTAAGTCCCAATGATGCGCAAACACAACATTTAATATTATATTTTTTTATAAAAACAATTCAACATTCTGCGTTCTGTGTCACTATTGCACTAAGGAGAAATACTATTTCATCAGCTTTTGCACTTTTCATTTATACCAGAGCGTAAAATTGGCTTCATTGAATTTTGAAACTTGGAGATAATGTAATGGATTGTGCTACTGACATTCAATTTTTAATTTAATTATTAAACAATACTTTTTTACTGTATTACTTGACAAACTTGCTTGAACCTTCTTTTATCATTTCAGAATATTTATTATGTAGATAAATGCTTACATAGATTATTATTGGCAATTTACAATAATGTTGAGTTTATGCAACATTTGGATTAGTTAGTATATGATATGAACATGATAGAACAAATGCAATTGGAATGTAATCATTGAGCAATAGACATGTAACTGCCGATTCATATTTCCGTTCTTGATATAATCTCACCTTGGAGATATTATCTTATCCTGCATTGTTGCATCATTGTTTAAACAATGCTCCAAGAGTATTTATTTATCTTCTACAAAAATTCTGCTTATTTCGGGAATGATAGAAGAAAACAAAGGCTGCTATCAACTGCTGAACTTATTTCTGGAGGAAGATGATCTTATTTCTGCAAATATGATTGATGCTGAGCACATTCCTCCCAATATTGACAAAATGAATGATAAGGAAAATATAGATGATCTAGAGGAAAAAGAAGTAGATGAAGAAAAAAATTGATTGGCCCCAATTGTTAACTCATGGAAAATATATAAAATTGCGAATGAAAAAAAGATGTCACAAATATAATTTCACTCTTACTTAGCGATAACTTTAATGAAATCTGAATACTGCAAAAGAAAGTGAAAGCAATAATGAGTAAATGAATACACAGGAGACTGAAAAATCCTATTTTGGATGATCCAAAAACTAATTAAAGACTGATGATGCACTCCCTATTTAAAGAAGTACATTATGATAGATACAGATATCAACAGAGGTGGCTCAATGTATAAACTTGTCACTGCAGTACCTCTTACCATGAGGTCAAAGTGTTCGAGTCCCGACAATGTCAGGATTTTCAACATGAGCTACATATCTAGGTCAAGTTCAGCTGCTGTCTGGAGAAAAAATTCCTTTGGAGATTTTCCTTTGTTTCTCTGATCAATACCAGGCAAATCCAGGAGCAGTTCGCCAACAAACAAACCATGGACTGCGATTATTCCATCCTCATCCTTGTTGTATCCTCACCCGTTACTGGCACACACTTACGCTTACACTCATACTTGTACTACACTACCACAATTGCTAGGACACCAGTCGGGAGCTTAGAACTGGTTCCAGTTGAGGTGGTGATCCCACTAGTGGTATCCTGCTTGGGGAGATGGTCCTGCTTGGTGAGATACCTGCTTGGGGAAAACCTCTTGTCAACAGGTCTCGCCATCCAACAGGGGAAAATAACCCCCGCCTCCTGCTCTAAAAAGCCTGCATTACATTTACAAGACTAATGAACTTAACAGTTGACATGCCCGGACTCATCACTCAATCAATCATGTATAACAAGTGATTATAAAGGGAAAAACTAAAGCCAGAAGAAGATGCAGATTGTGCAAAAGCACAGCAGTTTATAAATGTAAAAGAATGCCATGTTCATCTCCATTCAAACTATTTTAAGTTGTCTCGTGTCAATATGAATTGATACACCGTAAGGTCTCAAAGTTGTGTATATGCAACATATTATTGTACATTGAATATTGGTTAATAAAAATGATAAATGAGTTTTTAATATTTTTGGGTGTAATATTAGACTTAATGCATAATATTATTAAAAAAATATTGTTATTTCAATACTTGGTCCTTAATGGGTTCACATTCTGAAAATTTACAAAACAAAAAGACTCAAACCAAATTGAGAAAGAAATTAAAAAATTGAAAACTTGAAATTTCCATTAAAGCAATAGCAACACTGATACCTTTACCCTTGCTAGTTATTTAGTTCATATTCTCTGATGGAAAAATAAAAAAGAAGTTAAGAAATGAAATAATAATAATAATAATAATAATAATAATAATAATAAATAATAATAATGATAATAATAATAATGATAATAATAATAATAATAATAATAATAATAATTATTATTATTATTATTATTATTATTATTATTATTATTATTATTATTATTATTATTATTATTATTATTTAAATCAATAATCTTCAGTTGCCAGTATAACTCCTTAAAACAGAGCTTCAGTTTTGAACCAAACAGAAGAACTGATTTGGTATCAGCTACTTAAAACAATTAACATTAATAATTACATTGATGAATGCTCAATAACATTAGCTAAGTTTTCATATGTCAAAGCAATACAGTAATTTACATCAAAGTTTGCATACAAATTGGAGAATACATTAAATTTACTGGTAATATGCAACAAAGAAGAAGTTTTATGAATAACAAAAGGGGCACACAATTGACCTTACCCATATTTCTGGGCAACAGTCCTTTTTTGTGAACACCCATCAGTGACTCATGCTCTAGTCTTAAAAATTGTATTATTTTCAATTACAATTCTGGCTTCTCACATCTCTTCATTCTGCTTATCCTATCCAATTTCTTTGTTTCAATTCACAATGCCACTTATAATTCACACTATCATACTCAAAAATAAATCATTAGGCTGCAGTGGATAGTGCCATTCCATTTGAAGGTACCCTTAGGGTGCAAGTACTGCATAAACGACCTTTATTATTGGTAGAAATATGAGGCAAACAGTCTGAGCCTCAATTATGTTTTATAAGAAAATGGAATCAAAAGTCTCGCTGAAATTTGCTGTCAAGTGTTGTTTTGTAGGGGGGAGGATATAAGGTACGGGAAAGCAAGATATTTTTGACAATAAATAAATTTTTACTACTCAATTTCCCTCTCCACTTCATCTTCAGGATTCCTTCAAAGAGAATGGCTTCATTAAACTCAATCATAGCAATAATTTTAAAAATATTATCTTTCCTCATACCTGGTGTTAAATAGCCGAGCACCTCAACAATTGTAGACACAGCTGATATTCTAACCAATGCCTCTTCATCACTTGCAAGTTCTACCAACGACGGCAGTAACATAGTCTTGGATACATCTGCATCTAATGCTTTCACTATATTACTCAGCTCTGTACAAATACATGCACGCACCTCATGATTCACATCTTGACAAAGAGATAATATCACAGGAAGTAACTCTTTTTTCAGGTAAAACATGTCTAAACGCAGACTAGCTTTACCCAACAGTCTACATGACTTAATTCGAGAAGACACAGGTTGTGAAATTTGGCCTTTATTTATGGCTACTGGCAGAACTTCCGCTCGAATTGCATCAATGGGCAATAATGCAATAGCGTCCAGCAAAACATCAAGCCAAATTGCAGCAACTTCTGCAATAATAAACAGGAATTTTTTTTTTAAAATATCAACAAAAAATCAGTGCTAGAACCATTGAACAATAAAGTAACAATAAATAATTTGTAATGATAATTTTTTTCACTAATCCAATTAATGTAAACATTAATATATTTTAATTTTCATATTTTAAAATAGTATTGTTCAATCTGTGATTATTTTATCAAAAGCACCCAGAGGGTGGGAAGGGCCTGGGACACCACAGGGCCAACTTATCTGGGGCCTTCAGTTATTTTTAATTTTAAAACTAATTTAAAACTAAAAATGTATTTATTTCTAATTCAAATTAATTGGTGTTATTTCCAATGAATGGAATTCTGTTTATGTTGGGAGTCTAAATTAGGGCCTCTGTGGATCTACTTCCCCAGCCTTTTGTTTTCTCTGCACACCCCTAACAAAAACTCATTTGCATCAATTCACTTGACATGAACTGAATTCAGCAAATGGAACTCAAGGTGTTGAAAAATTCATAATCACAACAAAATACATTGAAGTGAAACCTTTTAACATATAATTTTTTTCCTGTGTAAGGGCTGGGCAAGAATTAGAGGCAAATAGTGAATCCAAATAGGTTCATTTTTCAAAAATTGAATTACAACACATATTTTATCAAGAAGAAAAAATATTTCGATATTTGTTATATTCAGCACGTGTATATTTTATTTATGACATTCTTTTTGTATGTTATTTAAATTATGAATTATTCTTAATTATAATCAAGAAAGTATTTATTTTACCTGGTACTTTAAAGTCAATATGCTCAACCATACTTCGCAAGAAGGTTTCTGCGTACGTTTTTGGATGAACCAATTTTTTTTCTAGTATGGTATAGAAAGTCAAGGCAGCAGCGACATGGAATTCTTTGCTTGCTTTGTCCAATGCCAGCAATATCTTTGGGACAATACGTTGCATGCATAGTGGACCGTCACTTCCTTGTAGTAGTGCAGGTAAACTATTTACAACACTCAATCGCTGCACCTCCTCTCCAACCCTAAACAAACAATAGAACTAAGGTTGTAGTCAACTCAGAATAATTTGAGTAATTTGGAGACTTGTAACACAAGTTCCAATTTAAAGGAAACTGTCCACGATTAAGAAAAGAAAATCCTTTAAAAGAACTTGGGACAGATTAACATACAAATTCTGGGCTAGAAATTCACCATTAAAAAAAAAAATTGCGCATTGAAAATATCTGACATGAGAGAAATGGTGTTTACTAAAATGGCACAAAAACGACTTCTACTGAGATGACATTTGGGGCGATTGAATGACTAAGTAAAGTACTAGTTACATTCTTTCTCGAATTAGTTCAGAAAGAGATGCTGTCTATACGACAAATGTATTGGTACCCTATGCAATGAAAATATTCCAAAATTAAGAGGTGTCCTGTACAGTACACTCTCAATTAGATATGTCCCAGACAACTTACAGCTCATACGCAATCTCCGAAAACTCGTCTCCAGACAATAGTTGGCTTTCGTCGAAATGCTGCGGGATCCACGACATTACTAGAAACCATTGTACGGAATTAGCTTGAGAAATAACCTTCACCCGGCCAAATTCTCCACCTCAGATCGCACCGCAAGTCCACCCACATTTCAGAAGCGCACGCGCATGCGCGGAGGTATGCGCAATGGTTGCCAGGCAACTGCATCCGTACGCCGCAGTCGCTGTATCTTGCGGATCCAAAGGTAGTGGATGATTCCATTTACTTCGGTTACATTCGACTCGGCTACGGTTTAAACATGACTACAATTCTCGTCTTGGGCCATTAGAATCACCGGCACATATAGCTAAGAATAACTGCCCGTTAATTTTTTAGGAGGAAGGATGCACGCTTGGGAGCTTTACGTTGAGGCATCCGGGGAAGGACGGTGACTCATTGGACCAATTCACAAATGAGTTATTGAACCTTGAAGATCCTTTGTTGTTTGTGAAAGGCAGCTCCTACCCCGTAAATAGATATTTTGGACAAAAAGCTTATCTTAATAGTCTTTCAGGAAAGAAATGGAGAGAAAAATCTGGAGATTAAAAAAAAATTTAAAAAAATTAAAAAAAAATACTTTTGGCAATCTAGATCATGGGAAAATTTCAAGTGTCTAAACTTTAAGCTGTACATAGAATGCAAGAGAATCCAGCCGCTCTGCACATCCAACAATATTTGGACTTCGATCATTGATGATGCATTCCTCGAGTTAAAGGTCAGTGGTGGTTCGTGTCAATTGTACGATTTTTCGTTTCGCACGCACTTTGGACTTATCGAATTACATACTAGGCGAAAACATAAGATTTCGAGAAATTTCTTTAACCAGATTTTAAGATAAGATTTTATTCTCACAAATGCATTAAATGATTAAATCATGAAATAGTAACATATCAAATACAAATATTAACGAAGCGCAAAATATTTTAAAACACAAGTTTGTTTTGACTATTGAAAAGTTTTATTAAAATGGCACTAGTGCTGTAGAATTCAGTGTATATTATGCTAACTCGAATAAAAAGTTTAAAGACAAAATTGATTTCATTCCGATAACTTCTTTTATGGGGATTTTTGGAAAAGTTACACGATTTGACTCCAAATCGCCTACTTGCCCAAACGAATATAAGAGAGGGCACGGATGACAGCCACCGGAGTGATGGATGAAGCAACGTCAGCAGGCTACTGTGACCTGTGCGCAATCTGCCCGCAACCGTACCTTCATATACGGTAAAATGGAATGCCATGTGTCTACGGGCTTCAGCGAAATTGGAAAGGGCCGCTATCGACGGGTCACTAAGGCACGCGGTGAGGAAGTTGGGGAACGTACTCCAGGGTGTAAAATGGCTGTGAGTCTGAGGACAGACCTTAGCGGGAGACCAATTAATTTAGCGGGAGGCCGATGATGATGAAGACTGAAAATGAAGCGAAACGACTCATATTCCGAAAAGAAAGATAAAAAACAATAAAAATGTTAAAAAACTAAAAAGCCTTTGAAAAAAACGTTTTAAAGACCTGACATTGAAACATATAGCATTAAGAAACAAGTATCTAGCTCCAATAATGAAGGTGTGCGACAGGTTCAAAGAAAAGTTAAACTTTTCTTTGTCATATTTACATGAGCCCTGTCAGCACATGTTTAATGTTCAGGCAAAAAATTGAAAGAAAAAATTGCAGTAATGTTTTAAAACTTTTGAAAATGTCCAGGGGGTTTGTAAAGAATCGACCCAAATGAAAATGTTTCCAATTCGTCGCACATCAAGATCGGTCAAGGAAATCCTGTGTAGGATTTAGGCTCTATTGTTGTCCACAGACGGACAGACAATTATAGGAGAGAACAATTGCTTTTCAAGGAACCCTTAAAAGCGCATTTCCGTTAAAAAATCGACTTTTATTTTTTCGGCTTTACATAACTTTCCGCATTCTACGAATATAAGTAAAAATTAAATAAGACGTTTTTCAAAGTTTCGATCCCGGTGCATCTGGTCGAACATTGCAAGACGTTTCGGAGACTCAAGATTCGATGCCACAAAAATAAATATGTACCCAGGTTTTTGTAAAAATCCACAGCGGCCCCTTATTTGAAACAAATTTCCTTCCCCTCCCCTCTTCTTACAGAATCAGAATTTATCTCATGTAACAGAAATAACTTACAGCGGTTAAATTGATATTTTCGAAGTAAAAACGATTTTCACATTGTTTACTAAAAAGATCGGCGCCTGAGGAGAAGTAGTTCCAGTTGCACTCCCTTCTACACGCCCCTGGCTATAGCTATTCATCCCGTAAATGTAGTAAATATTATTTCCCGAGAGTTGACGGGTTTTCTCTTTATCTGGAACGTGAGATCCGACACCAACCTACACTTCGGCTCAAGGAGTTTCCCCTTCCAGGTACCTCCCCAGTGGGGCACCGTCCCAGCCTGGATTGGCTCTGGTCTCAGTCTCAGAAGCATGAGCATTCTAAAACAACTGCTACGGGGACCTTTCCAATTTTTCAGGTGGCCACGCCCCCTCCCTGCCCCCGCCCCCCGGCTGAGCGCACGCCCACGCTGGCCTCCCAAAATGTGTGGTATTCTAATGCAAAAGATATGTGTAAGACGTGCGGTGGGGGGGCACAAAAGTTAACAGATTGCACAAGGATGATCCAGCGCCGTCCTTAGTCCCTTGTTTTAGGCACAGCTCCGGCATTCGCCTGTTATTGATGAGCGAAAGCAAGGAAAGCATACAGTCAGAGTAGCCGGCCGCAATCTGGCTCAAAGGGAGTAATATTTCCGTCAGCAAAATTGGCTTGCTGCTCTTGACCTGTGGGGTTATTTTCCACCATGGTTTGACCCAGGTCTGAACCTTGTCTACCACCCATGAACTTTGTGACTCACCACCCACGACGCGTTTTTATGGCTCAAAAACACGCCAATAGTTGTCAGTTCAAGAGGCCGCCTGCTCTCATCGGTAGTTTTCCGTTGTTTCTCTGATCACCAGGCGAATACCGGGGCAGCACCCTAACAAACGGGCCACGGACCGCGCAAGTTATTTCCGACCTCATCCCTGTTCTATCCTCACCCCTTACACTTACATGCACCACAATACCACATATGCCGGGAGATCTTGGCCCGGCTGGGACGATGCCCCTCTGATTGGACAGTCGCGGACCACGGGGACGGGACGAGGGATCCCCCCCCCCCAAATAACTTTTTTCCAGTAACTATTAATTTTAACGTCTCACGAAACTGAAGTTACAAGTGGTGCTAAAACAGCATGTACTTTCTCTCCAGTATTTTCACGCAANACCTTTAAGGCACAGATTTCATTGCGGGGAAACATCTCTATCTTTAATATTTTAATTGTAGGAAGGCTCCGAAAATATTTTCAACTTTTGCAAATTCCCAAAAATCGTGTTTTTTAACGAACATGAGACTCGCACCATTCTCTCAAACTTGCTTTCTTCTCCCTAAAAATATTTGCGGATACTCATTAAAACAAATAAAATCATATCGCAGCATGAACTGAGTTTAGCCTGCGTCATTCTACAATATCTGTAATATAACACATTCGTCCAAAATATTTTGAATAAAAAACTATCTGAATGTAAGGATCACACTCCACTCAGTCAGTAGTATCCCTAGGATGAGGAAATATAATAATTAAGTGGCGGATTCTGACGACCTAAAACATCGCCAAAAATAATCAATAAAGTATTCTAATATGTTGTTTCTAGTAATTTAAGGTCTCATCATCTTCTAGGTCATTAGCGACCACTAATGCGTGTAACTGTATGGTAACTCTGAGGATGACACGATGTGATGATGATAGGGGGTGAAAGGACGAACACAATACAACCATACCCGAGGTGGAAATCGAACCCGCAATCCTTCGGTCCGAGATCGCTAGGCCACTACTGCCTTAGCGATCTCGGTCACCGGAGCGGCTCTAATATGTTTTTGAAATGCCTTAATAGCATTGAAAAATTACGTATTTTTTTTAATCAAAAATTCAGGGTAATTCAAGCTGTTGGATATGTTACTGAACTGAAACGGAAATATTATTTTAAGAATACTAAAGTAGAGTAAAACCTGGTCCTAAATGGCAAATTCCTTTGAAAACTTTGGAGCCGTTTTTTAAAAAAAACTGGCATTTAAGCGCTACTCTAAATTCAAAATGTATGGCTTTATCAGAGAAAAAAATTGAGTTTTCGGAAAACATCAAAGTCTTTTGAAGCACATTAACTCACAAATACAATAGTGTTTTCAAATTGCTGGAAATGTGCATATTAATGGCGTGAGAAATATTAAAAAAAATACATTTGTATAATTTTTTAAGAAAAAAAGAATACCTCGGAATGAACTGTAAGTCATCTTAAAGAGTGCAAATAGCACTCTCCGTTCGAAAAGTTTCAAGAAAAAATTTGGAGCCGTTTTTGAGAAAATAGCGTTTGAACATTATTGAATACGCGAAATTCTGAGCTACTTTTCATAGAGAATGGCTTTTTATGACATTATTTCAAGCACAAGTACTCATAAATATAATAACGTGAACAAATTGCCGCTAGTGTAAATATTAACAAGAGACAAGTCAAAAAATTATATTTTTGTAATTTTCGAAAAAAAACAATAGAATAGAGTGATATGGCGTTATGTAGAGTACAATTAGCACTATTACTACCCACAGTTTAAAAAATAATTGGAGCCGTTTTTGAGAAAATCTTGGTTTTGCTTTTTTTTTAATTGCACATATTGCTTGTAATATTGCCCGAAAACAACTAAAATGCTCAAAAAATTTTCATTACCTTACTGGAAGAAGTTGCTATGGAGGATAAATTTCATTTGAAGGAAGAATTTGTATCTTTACTTTTGTAGTTGTAGGAAGATGCCACAAAAAATTCAAAATTTTGCAATTGTCGAAAATTTAAACCGTAAAAATCCGACCTTTACCATATTTATCATTTTTTTTTTCAAGAAGTTTAAAGAATACATTTGGTGCCGTTTTGAGAAAATTTTGAAAATGTCCGGAGGGCTTCTTGTAAACTACGCCCAAAATTTAATGAATATTTTTCAAAAGCGTAGAGCTTTTACGGGCCAAATCGACAGGGGTTTATTCAGTTCGGAAAAAATCGTACGACTAGTTTAGACGCAATGTTTGTTCACATACACCGAGTTCATGGCTTCTTGGCTGTCCGGCTGACATCGTGTCGTTGACTGAGGCCGAAGTTTCGCCTGTCATTTCGCAGGCTTCCTCAACTCCACCCTCAGGGTAGCGTCACCCGGACAGCCAAGAAGTCACAGACGGACGTTTTGCCGTCAATCGATTTTTCGGTATGAAGGACCCACAAAACAGGGATTCTGGGTAAACCACGCGTTAGAGGATTTTTTTCTTAATTTAGCAACTGTATTTATCCACTTTTGCATTATCAAGGCCCGACAATGAATTTTTTTCTGCCAAAATATTCGAAAAAAAAAGGCTCTCAGAAAAAAATTAAAATAGTAAATGTGCAAGAAAATAAAAATGCATAACACAAGAGAAACTAGTAGAAACGTCTAAAATGTATCAAAAAATAACCGCGCGTTCTGTCCTTCCGATCGTTACGAATGGGAATCCTGAATCTCATTGTATTTTTGCTCAGTGGTTTGGAAGGAAAATGTCTTCGACTGATCTCCAGAGACGTGTGGCAGCTCATCTCTTTCTTACAGCACTTGACAAGCGGTGCTACGGTGACTTCCACGTATTGGTGTGTGGCCGACGCAACCAGAAATAGCATTGACGGAGTAAGGTCTTTCTAGGTGCCAAGCGAGTGATTGTGGGCCGTTGTAACATTTCGGGTAATTACAGTGTGCCCGAAACAAAAGAATAGGGCATGGATCGCTAACATGCGCCTAGAGACAGCGCGGTTAATAAGTGCATACGAAGAGAAAGAAAATAGCTAAAAAGAATAAGAAAAGAGGAAAATCTAATTAACAGAAAAAAGTAGAAGAGACTTGAGACAAATCTTGTTAAATCCTGTCATCTTTCTTCAGCCCTGGACAGTAATGTTTGTATGTAAGCGAATGTTTAATTTGTAAATCGATATCATGCGTTTTTATTTACATTTTAAATGTTCGATCTGTTTCATAGAATGAAAAATATAACACCTTATATAACTAACCAAAACTAACTAACCTAAAAACAACCTAAATATAACTATAATCCTTGGTCGTTTTGCAGCTCTGAATCTAACGATTGTAATAACAAATTGTTACTATTTTTAATTTAAAACCATAAAGTATTCATTATCAATATTAAATTTAATATTTTAATTTTGTTAAAAGCATTTTATTATAATTGTAACTACTGTATATATATATATATATATATATATATATATATATATATATATATATATATATATATATATAGACACACACACACATATACATACGCGCGCGCGCGCACACACACACACAAATCACTCCCCTAATCTCGAATTCGTCTCTACGCCTCTGCGTGCGAGATATCTGGTTGGGGAAAACCCTGCTAGCCGACGATAGGTCGGTGCACCATCTAGCATGAGGAAGATCATCACCACTTCCTAAGGGGAAAAACATGCACTAAACCTACAGGCCTAATAAATTTAGCTGTTGATGCACATGGAATCACTAATCAATCAATCAATAATACTCAGGATGTTTTCATGTGGTTTAAAAACATACATACACAACCAAAACAATTTCCTCATAGTTACCAACTCAAAAATTGTACCCTCAAACATCAAAGCAAGTATTTTAGTACGTAATGACTCCAGAAGAAAATAAGTGAGGACATTCCTGATGTCCCTCTCTAGAGAGACCGCTTCTGACATGCAGCTTCAATGACATTTTCAAAACGGCTCAGTTTTTTCTTTAATTTTCTCTCAAATAGAGCAAACTAAGCTGTTGAAATCTGAATTGTAGAAAATTACAAAAGTTTTACATAGTTTATGAAAACTGCAAAAGTACCTGCAATTTTGCCTTCCTACACAAAATTGAATATAAAGATTTTTTTCTTAATGAAATCTGTGAGACAAAATTTGAACTTGATTAAAACTTATGAATTTTTGAAAATTCCAGATTTCAACTTTTGTTTTTATGTGTTGGGAAAGTTCTTATGACAACTCAGGCATTTGATGAAGCAATTAATTGAGGTATGTGAAACCTAAGTATCTAAGTTCAAACCCAGTTAAAAAATGTATGGTGGAAACACTTTTGTGAGTTTAGATACTATTATAATAACCATTACAACTAATTTTACTGTTCTCCTTGCTGCACTGCTAATTTTTATTTGTACAATTATGTATTAAAAATCAGTAATTTCTTATATAGTGTTAAATTAGGAAGTTATGCATTTCTTTATAAACCACATATAAAACTCATTTCGCATCTTACCAACTGTGCGTGTACTTCATTTACTATACTACGCCCAAGATTCCAGCTATGCCACTGCCCGCATTGTAAGGTTTCTAAATGTTTTGGACAATCTCTCTGTTTCAGTATACTCCAATGTCTTGGAGCTGACTCGGTAAAATCATGTCCAGTTTTGTTTTGATAAATGGGTTGGTCATAAGAAGACTTGTAACAAGAAAAATTTGAAGAAATTCCTGGCAATTTATTTGAAAAAATCTGGCCTTACTTCAATGTGAAATAAATAACTACTTCCTAATGATTTCAGAGATTTATTGCAGACAGTGATGTGGTGGTACTATCACTATGTGAAATAGTAGTAGTATTATTTTATTTGTGATGTTGGTTACATTTATGAAGCATAAAAATAGATTGCTCAAATCTTTTTTTGCATATGTTGTTACAATTAAAGTAGGATATATTTATATATTTAATTTCATAGCATATTATTAAATAATTACAACTCCCTAATTTTTTATAAATTGTCACTCAAAATACAGCCACTAATGTCAGTGAGAATATAAAATTCAAAGTGTGCCTCTTTCAAAGCTTATTGTTTATAATATAAGTGCCTTTTGTCAGTCTATTTAAAATTTGACTCAATAAATATTTCATACCATATTACTACTTTGTATCTACCTCATTTCAATCATAAAGAGCTCTAACCAATTTATTTCATAAATTGTTTATAAATAAAAAATAATAATAATAAAGAAAGAATTATGCATTGATTGGCAAAACTGAAGAGCAAATTGTTTATTATTACTTTAGGACTACCAATAACTTTTGTATTGAAAATTAGGAATCTTGGAAATATTATTTATTAATTTATTTAATAAGGGAAACAATGAATTCATTTATCAATTTACAATTTATTATGTAGATTATTCATTACTAACAGAAGACGTCGTAAATGTGATAAAATACTATAACAATGAAAGTTGTATGCATTTACAAGAAACTATATCAGTAGTCCTAAGTTAATAGGTAACAAAGAACTAATTACTTACGTCAGAATATACAATGCTCTTTCAATTGGCTTATCCTCAAGAGTATCGTCAATTGAATGTCTACGAATTTGTTCTTCACTCTGCAGAAGATGGGGATTCGTAGGTAGTTTACTGTAAATATTATTAAGGTCTCTGAAGCACAGAAAAGAGCAAAGCAGCGAAACGAATGCGCAGGGACCACGTTTAGTCAGTACATAATGTGGTCAGTTTCACATGACTAACCTTCAAATCGCGCGCGCTCGTCTTGTCCAAAGTCAACGCTGCGAATTCATCCATTGTGAATTTTTTTCAAATGATAATAAAATAAAATATGATAAATCAAGGTTTTAAAAGTGAAATTCTTACTATTAATCCACTTTTAAAGCAATATTTTTATTTTTAATTCTAACTCTGAAACGTAACCATGTACGTTCGCGATGTTACGCGATCCGTGCTTCTTCTGTTATCGTACTTCTTTTTCAATCCATTGAAACAGCCAATGCAACCAACTTTTCGTTGTCTGCTGCTTCTCCAGCGTGCACCAGAGAGTATTTTACAGCGTGCACTTGGTGCACCTACGCGCGATTGGTTGCAATCGGAGATTTATATTTCGCCTTCGTTATTTATTATTAAATGTTGTTCAACGTGTTTTTAAATGTAGTAGCTTAAAATTAATGTAGAAGCCGCTGTCTGTAAAAACATTTCTTCAAAGGTAAAAACAGTTTTTTTCTTCAAAGAAAAAATAAGTCCATTGACATGACTGCACCATCAATGAATAGGTGTCGTTTATGTATGGTGTGTCACTGACTGAGAGGGTCTCTAGCTTGCTCGATTTTTCGAAGAGGTGGAAAAGGAACTTATTGTTAGAAATTAATAAAAATATTTTTAACTCATCTGAAAATACAGAGCGTTTTGTTGACATTATTCGGGTCTTCCTTTAGGCATCGAGCGAAAGGCAAACATTGGCACGTTTTTGTATACATCTGTACGCATCAGTTACATCAGTCCTTATCAGTCGCATAGTTGGAGGGCTGCATAAGTGTTCCTGGTGAAGGAATGAAAATTGAAGGAAACTGACATTTTCTGCAAGGGTTAGGATTTATCGTGAATTTTGTGCTCGCTTCAATAATTTACCACTTTCAAAATACCTGGTCTGTATCGTTTTATTAAAATCGGAATGGCTCTCAGTCCGAAAGAATCTGGGGCCTTCATAGCGAAACATGCTACGCATGTGTTTATAGATCGAGAGGGAGTCCAAAAAGTTGCCTCGGAGGTATATAAATATGTTGTTTGCCTAAATGAAAATGAAGTGCCATTGAACAAAAACACTTAAAAATTAGTTCATGAAATCGCATTTTGCAGGTTTACGAAGCTTTGAAGAAGGGAGCTCTGAATGTTCAAGGTTTCTCCCAAGTTGAACTGCATCCAAAAAAAACAGACAAAGATGCTGCCGATTGGATATTTGTGGTTGATACTCTGAACTTTTGTTTTTGGAAGCCTCCGAATTCAAAGGAGAAGTGGGAAACGCATTTTCGCGGGAAAACGTACACGGGATATTTTGCCTTATGTGCTGCTGTCAACAGGGCAATTGAGGTAGTAACAAATCTTTACTTTTTGTTCAATTTCATTATTATTTTTAGTTGTTCGGTCGAAAGAAGTATGGTACGACTACATACTCATTAATTTTTTAATCTTTTGTCTTTTTATGCTCATGAAAACTTTGTTCATGTGTTCACAAGAAAGAATGAAGAAGAAATACACTAACAAATTTTCAAATTTAATATTCTTGGAATAGAAATAGTCTGGTGCATATTTATTAAATTTTAATAGCTATTTTAAATTTATTCATTTGAAAAAACTTTCCTAGTCAATTTTAAGACATGCCGATTGTAAAAGTTTATATTTAGAATAGTCATTTTTATGTTTGGTTCATTTTTAGGTGATTCATATCTGGGCCCCACATTTATTTATAGGTGTACTGTTCCAAATGAAATATAATTCACATGTTGGCATTAAAGTTTCTTTCCATATCACTGTAGTCTCCTTTTCTTTTAGACATGCTCTATACTAAATAAAGTATAAATTAAAATATAATTACAATTTGTACATTAGTACAATCATGTAACTGAATAATAAAAAAAAGAGCTGTATTTTATTTGCATGTTTGAAACAATTGTTTGGCAATTATCTAATGATATCTTTCAAGATTTTTGGCAATGTAAACAAATAAAATTGTTACATAGTGTCCTCCCTTACCCACTTCTTCCATACGTAGTCATTTTCAGTGCATGTTGTTCTGCAAATTTAGCATGTACTGTTTAATGGTGTTGGTCACATTACATTGCGGGGGAAAAAAATAAAAATGCAATTGTCATTCCTTATTACTTTATATTTTAACTTAGTAATGTTATTATTCTTAATATTAACTGTTATCCTTGATTAATGATGATGAAGGAATGAAGAAAACAAATAATTGAATAAACAGACAATAAGATTTTGAATTAATGTAGTATGTCGCAAACAAATTCTCTTTTTTCAGGAAGGAGTGCCTTTAACAGATCCAAAATTTTATTCTGAGGTAACCCTCAATGATTTACAAAAGATCTTTCGATCTGGCACAGCACAACCTATGCCATTGCTTGAAGAAAGGCAAAAATGCTTGCATGAAGTTGGTAAAGTACTACTGGAGAAATATAATGGTATGTTTTATTACGGTCTGTGTGATAACTATTTAGTTACATAAGAGACAAAAATATCACAAAAGTTTGATAAGGTAAATAATGCAAAAAACTTTTTTTAAAAAGTAAAATTCTGATTGTGTAGCCAAATTCATACTCTTGTAAAATCTTCCCTTTCATATATTCAAGGTCAACTTAACACTCCTCTTTATTTGGGTTTCAAGTTGTAGAACATGGCTTGTTGAGACTATTTTTACACTTAGTTATTCTGCTGGACAGTTGGCAAGCTTGCATTTAAAAACTGGTGTAGCACTTTGGAACCAGATGAAAAGGAGATTTGTATGTACTTCCAAAAATTTTGGATCAGGCTTGTATGGATAATTGCCAAGTGAGAGAGCTGGGATAGGCTTCTCAGGAAAGCTTCTACAATGAGCATATTTCATTTGGGAGCTTGTTGATTTAAGGAAAGAGGAATGGTGGGCAAAATGACTCTCAAAAGAATATACTAAACTATTATTTACTATGCAAGAAAGTGGTGAATTGTAAAGAAGAGAAAGTGAGAATTTTAAAGGGAGACCTAGTTACGGTAATAAGGGTACTGGTTTGGATCACTCTCGCCACCCAACTGACAAGGCTCGAAATTCTGTTGGTCATTTCCACTGATTGCAGTTGGGTCAGATTGTACCTATTCATTACATGGGGGGGGGGGGAATACCTGACATTGGCCTCCCAAGAATTTGATGGTAATGAACGGAATAAATCCTGAAAATTATGTGGGATCTGAAGGGTTAACATATAGTTAAGGAACTAACCCTGATAAACCAATTCTGTGTGTGTTTGAGATGCCACTTAAGACTTAAAAAAGAAAAATGGAATGCAACATTGCACTAAATCAAGAGCGAAACTGCAGTGCAATGATATCAATAACTCCAAACAATACTGGGCTCAGCACAAAGGGGATTGCTGGGTAAAACCGAGGGGTGACCTGTATGTCCAAACAATCATCACTGTTATATTTGATGACCACGGGCAAACTGTTGCTTGTAGTATTTGCAATTTGCAAACAAAGGAATTTTAATCCTTGTCTAAGACAACCTATGAGAAAGTTGATAGGCGAAGATGTGTTTACGAAAATAAGACAGAAAAACATTTGTAACAAACAAAACAGTACCTAAGTTGTGAAATCAAATAAAAGGGTTGATATGATTTACTTAGTCAATAGACGAAGGCTTGTCCAAACGAAACCCTAATATAAGCAGTTTTATAGCAATTACCAGTGCCACAATATTTCATGCTTCATTCTTCCAGTGCCATCATTCTTCATCATGATTCCATCCATTGTCTGTATAGCATGCAGTAGTTACGGACGCCGACTCGATAGACTCATTCTCGAAACATTGACCATACTCTGAAGCGGGAACTCAAAACTTACCGAATTAGAATGCGTAAATGAAGCGAGGAGCTTTAGATAAATTCCTTCTGCGACTATTCCCGAGATTGATTTTTTTCTGGGAAGGACTCCGCTCTAGAATCCTTGATGAGCAACCGCCATTGGTAAAAGCTTGCTCATGCTACAAGCCTACAATCAGTACTGTGGGATACGAGACACATTGCATTGCGACTGATCCCAATTGAAGCGGAGGTAAAGAAAAGGTCTTTGGACTCAGACGCGGGGAAACGGAACAAGGCTGGATCCTGAAACAGATCATTCTGCAATTTGATATGACCAGCAGGCCAAGAAAACGCTAAGGGGGGCAATCGCCTAGAGCAAATCCCAGAACGGAAATGGTGGTGCTCGTACTCGTACTGCAGAAATACCGTGTACAAGGTATAGAACGATTTATTTATTTTCCGTTCACCCTAAGAAAAAAACTAATGTAAACAAACCAAAGAAATCTTTGCGTTGCACTGGGCTTCTAATTGGACAACTAGCGCACTACTTTCGATTACCCGAGCGGCTTATCCCGCCAATTCAAATTGAATAAGAGCTGTCGCAAATGACAGGCTTAGGCTACTACTTTACTTACGATCAGTCTGCTTCAGGAATGAAAATGAAGTCAGTTATCCGTGTTCAGAATCAGATTTCTTCTCCATTTTCTTTGGAACACAAAATCGTATGTCAATAATTCGTATGAATTGGTTCGTGTAAAATTTGAAACACTGTTCACAATCTGCAATAATTTCGCAAGCGTTGGTTGTTCGTTTCTCAAGTAAAAGGGATGCACTTTTGATCTAACAGCACTGATTATAAAGCCGTCGTATGCTTCAGCCACAGGTTCCTTCTGCTTTCTTTTCTACTTTGGTATTCGTAGTTGCTCTTTGACAGTAAGCTCTTTCCTGACCTTTCAATACGCTGGACAATCGCTGAACTCTGCCGCAAGTTCAGCGATTTGCTTGACCGGTAATGACGGGTTCCTATTCAATAACGAATCGAATTTTGTGAACTGAAACGAACTGAATATCAGGGCCACGCTCCTGACCCATGTCAGTCAACACATTCCTGGGCTGAACTGTCAGAGGCTCATTATCTTATCGCATAGTCACACGTAAGCAGTTACCAATGACTTCCTTTGTCAAAATCGTTGCAATTGTTAGACGCAAGGTTAACTTAACGAACGATGGCAGATAAATGTCATTTTTCAGAGAACTATTTACTTTAGCCAGAGGCGGGATTCAGGGAGGCAACAGCCCCCCCCCCCGCCAAATGTTGTGGCAAATTAAAAAAAAAGTATATCAGACATTTCATTTTTTGGACTTTAGATTTATATTACAAAATACTTACTTTTTTCTGTATTTTGAGAAAAATTTAATCTCTATACAGTATTTGAGTAACTTTGAGTGTAATGGAGTGTGTGTGTGTGTGTGTGTATGTGTATGTCATTTACGGTTGGACCACTTCCCATGCTCGATTCGAAACGTATGAGGTATCATTTGACGCGTCTCCGTCACGGTCTCATGGTGTAGAACATAATTTATTTTCCGATCCGGCCAAAAGATGCTAAGAAATTTCCAAAAACGTGTTTTTGTATGTTTTAACGCTGCCATTTAGTGAATATACCGTAATTAAAGCAACTCCACCCAAAAACATCTCTGTAGGTGAGTGATTGCGAGAAGTGAATGTCCGCGCGGCAGTTTTCAATTCATTTGCACCGTATTAACATATTTTTATAAATACATTTGCAAAACCTTCCAACAGTATTGTCTTGGAACTCATTGAACTTGAACTTCAGGTAAATGCGGAGAAAACCAAACTGTGAGTAATGCTACAGAAGCCCATTTAAGTTCTTACGTTCGACTTATCACATTCACATTCTTAACCGTGAAAATAACGATTTTCAAATTAATGTAACAACTTATTCTTGTTAAAACGTACCCAACACCTTATCCACATAAACATACAAAACAGTCGTCTTTTAATATTTATAGAGATTAGCCTAAAAAAGCGAAAAATAGATCAATCGCACAAGTAAAAATGAACACTGGCTTTGCGAAGTTTTAATCTCTTCAAAAATGAGGGGACAAAAATTGGAAGTGAAATACAGAATTTTCGGAACTACTGAATGATCTTATTAGAAAACAACGCCGAAGAGTAGCTTACATATGATTTTTATGTGCATTTTTGTGCATATAAGCAAAAAAAAAAAAGTATAAAAGTGTAGCTGTACTATATTCTAACCATTCTGCATCATTCGTACCTGCAAGTATCTTTAAGGCGTTTACATTTTTTAAATTGCTATATTACCAGTTCATAACCCCTTTGAAGGTAACATACAAGGCCATTGGGGGTTGGAAATTTTTGAACAGGAGTAAAATATTTTCTACTACGATTCATTGGTATGCCCAATACTAGAGCTGTAGCTTCGTTCAAATAAGTTCTTACAGTCTAGCATTGGACATAACATATATAGATGACATAAATTTTCAACACATGAAAATCCTTTTTAAACAGTATAAGCGTCGGCGACGCCACATTCAACTACTCCCCACGTAGTATTTTAGTAACTGCGAGTATGCGCGTGTGCGGATCCTTCACACGGTTAGACCATTTCCCATGCCCCAATTGAGACATATATAGTACGATTTATTTAATTGTGTACTTGACGTAAATCAGCTGTTGCGGTTTCATCCAATCGGGAGCTTATATGTCGCTACAGTGACATCACTACGGGTGAACCGTGAACAGCTGATCTACGTCAAGTGCATGGTTAAATAAAACGTAGTATAAGGCGTCATTAAACGCACGTCGGCCTCCTGGTGGGGAATTGACACTTTGTTTTCGGATCCGGCCAGACATTCATAGAAATTTCCAAACACGTCTTTTGGTGGCGGGAACTTGAAAATTACACTTTGAGTAATGCTACAAAATGAAAGCACATTTAACTAATTACGTTCGACTTCTCACAGTTACGTTCTTAAGCGTGCAAAAACCGATTTTCAAATGAATCCGACTAACAATTTCTTCTTATTAAACTTAACACTTTATTAACATAAACATTCAAAAAAGTCATCTTTTAATTTCTCTCTCTCTTTTTCTTTCTCCCCGTTCTCTCTCATATCTTCTCCTTCTGCTCTCTCTCTCTCTCTCTCTCTCTCTCTCTCTCCTGTCTCGTCTGCGGTGTCGTGTTTGGGTGGTGTCGTCGGTGCGGTGCGGCGCGTGCGCCGAGCGCACGCGCGTCCATACTGCGTCGTCCTACTGCATATCCTAAATCGAATGTAATAGTCTGAAAGCATATTTTATTGTAATGCACCATAGTTTAGAATTGCAGGGAACATACGTATATTATGATTAAATAAATCCTTTCCATTGTAAATTTCTTAGCGTTTTTAATATTTCAAGTGGCGAAAAATAAATGCTTCTTATGAAACAACGTTTCGTGACGCAGGAGCGTGTAGTAGGCGCGCATGCGGAGTTGCTACCGAGATGCTTCCTGGCGGTCCTCTTTACAGCTGCTATAAATAACGCAATTCTTAATGGAGGATTACTCCATTGCGCTCAACGGCCCGCGGGGCTTGGAGACGCGTTGCATCAATTCAGACGCAACAAATCATTTACCGTCAGAGTGCCCATTCCGGGTCCGCTACGTTCACCTCAGGGAAGACTTCTTCGATTCTTACCTTCGGCTGATACTTTTTTCAAGCTGCCTAGTGTTGGAATTTGTATCACTGAGGCAATATATTATTTTTCAGAAAGTAATTAATTTCCAGATCGTTGTATATTGTACCTAATGCATGATATTATTTGATGCCAAGTGTACACTGAGAAAAAAGCGGCCCTGTTGTCTCCACTAAATAGTTTCTGTTATATTCAGTGTTATTAGAGTAATTTCACGTTTGTTCTTATAAAAGCGAGTCTGTTGTTTAAGTCATAATGTCGGTACCATTATCGAAAAATTTTCATTTTTTTGGACTACAGAACAATTTCCATTACAAATATATAATAAACAATCAAATAAATGCATAGAACTGTTGCAGCCATTTTCAATGTGTATGTGATTTAAAATGGTAAACATTGTTTTAATTTTTTAACTAAAGCTCAGCAATCGAAAAAATCTGAAAAAAAATATCGTTTGTGTTTTAAGAAGAACGTTTGAGAATATTTTCAAGCATGTTCCAGGGTTTTAAGACAGTGAAAATTATTTTTGGTACTTTTTTCAAAATAGCTTTACGTTTGAATTTGGTGCTGAGACATCAAAAATGTTTTTCTGATTATTTATGTAATTATGTGTTTTATCTTTCTACTTACCGTCTCTAATTTGTAATCGTGGTGAATCGTCGCCGTCCTAACATAAAACCCAATTTTTTCGCTACATATTTGGTACTATATTACATATTTTACATATTTAATTACGTATCTTTTTTTTTAAGAAATATCCTTAAAAAATTAGCATTTTTCCCTGCATTACTACTGCGTGTTGCCTACTCCAGATTTCCTATGTGAAGACGCGTGATAGTCCGGCGCGCTTGTTTCAGTTATCTCGGTGGCGGAAGTATGCGTCAACGACTGAGATCATTTTCACCTTTAGATGTGAAAAGTTACACTGTCGGCGCCGTTCGTGATCTTTAACCATAATTTCGGAGAAACATTGGCGTTCGCCGACCTATAACACTTCAATGAGAGTGTTTCACGCTGCAGGGATTGTTTGTGGTCCTATATATCGGCAGTTGGTACGGTGCCTTCTATTGTGTCTGGCTGCAGATCTACGGTCCTGGATAGCAGTAGATGAAGCTTTTACTATTCCGATGGGAAAATTGTATGAGCGTTGTTGTAATTTTTTAAGTTAAAGAAATTTTTTATTAATTGAAATTTGTATTATGTAAATGTGATTTATAATTAGTGAATTTTAATATTACATATTGACGATTTTACATATATATTACATATTCTTACAGTTTTCATTACATATTTATGTACATATTGTGATGTTTCATGCTACATCTTTTTCCGGTCTCTACTCATATGTCATTTGGTTTAGGGGAACTTTTTACCATCTTATGCGGGGGGACCCATTGCCCCCCCAATAAAAGATCCGAAATCCCGCCTCTGACTTGAGCGTCAGGATTGCGATAACAGCAGATGCAAATCAATGAGAGTCCTCCAAACACACGCGTATTTGTTTACATCAGATTTCATCTTAGCGTGGACGGAAAAGTCGTGCACATGACACATCAGCTATTGCGGTTTCATCCAATCGGGAGTTAATGTGTCGCTACAGTGACGTCTCTGTGGGGAGTTCAAGCTCCCGATTGGATGAAACCGTGAAACCAAGCTGATTTACTTCAAATGCACGGTTAAAGAAATCCTAATGTGAGTCTGAAACTCATGAAGCTATTATCGAAGAGAAACCTAGGGGGTAGGTGTCTCAGGGCATCAACTGACGTCACTGCAATACATCTGTCTGATAGGTTCTGGGGTTCGAGTCCCGACGGTAGTGGCTGGGTAGTGGAGAATTCTAGAGGCCGACTTCTCTGATCGGTAATATTCTGCGGTATCAACATTGAACAAATGCCGGTGCAGATCCCAAACAAATGGCCACGAACAGCGCGCTTTCTTTCCTTCCTCTCACTTGCCCTATACTCACCCCATACATGCACTTCACTGCCACATGACCAGGCGGGCGCTTAGAGCTTGTCACGGTTGGAGCGGTGCGCGGATGGTGGGAGATACCCGAATGGGAAAACCTTTCCAATGCAAGGTGTAGTCGCCGTTGGATCTCACAATCCAGCGTGGGAAGAACATCGCCGCCCCCGTGATAAGACATGCGTTGGAGGTAGTGGCGGCTCGTGGTCTTGCCATTAGGGTGTGCTGTGCAATGTCCTCTTGTCCTTTTTCTCCGCCTCTTTCATAACACATCACTTACAAAGGATTTTACAGCCAACGACGCAACGCAACACACAACATTCACACACACATGTATTCACACATACCGTGTCGAACATAGAAGCAATTTTTAATAAGAGCTCCTGATGCGGCTTGGCGCGGAGAGACTTTCCTAGCACTCGTTATATTATTTCATTTTTAAATGAGATAAAGAATGAAATTAGCAATTAATTTCTGATTTACTCCTTAGTTGTTCATTTTTATTGTTTACATTTTACTTCGAAAGGCATTAAGTGAATGTTTCATTTTTAAAGTTTGTTCTTCATAAAGTATATATAACTGTATTTCTGTAACTGTATATGTAACTGTTACTATAATAATATTTTGTTTAATTGTTTTAACAGGTTCTTTTGTCAATTGCATAAGAGAAAGCGAGGGTTCTGCTCAAACGTTACTTAACATTATTACAACAAATTTTCCATGTTTCCGAGACGAAGCAGAATTTCACAATCAGAAAGGTAACAGATGTCAAACTGGCATACTACTTTTCTAGTATTTTTAAAGAATTACTAATTAGACATTTATCTTTCTAGTTGCACTCTACAAAAGAGCGCAGATTTTGGTTGGAGATATATGGGCATGCTTTCATGGAGAAGACCTTGGCAAATTTAAAGACATTGATTCATTAGTTATGTTTGCAGATTACAGGTTAGTGACAATTTTTAAGTCATCCGAATAAGCAAATGAGCCCTTTAAAGCCCAAGAGGGGTATCACATTTTTTTGTTCCAAGTTATTTAACATTTTAACTAGTTATTTTATTATTAATTTATTATTATCATCATCATCATCATGAATATCATATCATCATCATATATTACTAGCTGAACCCGACAACGTTCTGCCCGGTTCATGTTTCTCTCTGTTCTCAGTTTCCTCCCTCTCTCCTTCTTGACCTCTATACATATTTAGTTTCAGATTCTGCATGTCTTTGAGTAGGTGGGTTAATGTCGAGAAGCGCCGGACCAACAAAAATGTAATAGAATGTTCAAGATCTCATCCTGCAGATTATGGTGTGAGAATCGTTTATTTGAGGCCTTATGCCTTAAAATACTAGTTTTTAATGCTCTAAAACGCTTTGTTTGTGAGTTATTTAACGATATAGTAAAAAAGCTTGCCGAGTGTTGCGAGATATAGGGATAACACTATAAAACAAAAACGAACTTTGTCCATGGATAGTGTCGATAATGTGTTTACATGTCATTCGTATAGAATACGTGTTTTTTAACTTAAATCTGTTCTAACTGACAGATTTTCAAACAATTTTTTGACAATACATTTCACTTAAAATAGCATCTGCCCATTCGTTTGTGACGTTAGCGCACTTCGATAGAATTACACTATTTTCGAGCGAATGCCCCTACACGAATTGCAGACTACTTTTAGTTCATCCATCGACGCTGTGCAATGGCACCGTCCGCCGTCGTCTTTCCTTTCTATCAGCGCTATTACGACGTGGTTGATCTGATGCAGCAATCGCTCCCTCGCTGTCATCTCCCAGCTCAGCATTCGTTCACACTACCACGTTTCCGCGGAACAAATCCCAGAGCTCCGATGACTGTAGGTACAACCTGTGCTTTTATGCCCCTCATTAGGTTGATCTCGATTTCAAACACTTGTATTTATGATGTTTCTATGCTTCCTTGGTTACAACTATTTGATTGTAAGGCACAGCAACATCTACAAGTATATACGAGTTTTCTCCATATCCCGGATAACAATATCCGGTTTGTTTGCTTCTATCGTGTGAATTTGTTTGTCCTATAATATTTTATAGAGTCCAACAGATGTCACCACATTTAGTTTGTATTCGTACCACTTGGAATTACCAGTTGTGTTTGGAACTTCGAGGGCGGTGCAGATCTGCCAGTGGAGGTAAATACAAACCCTGCAGTGTCTTTTCAAGTCTTTGATAGAATTGGACAATCTGAAACGATATGATCAATAGTTTCTACTTGTACTTGGCAGATGCGGCATTTATCATCTGGGAAATTTTGAGAACCGCTTTATCATAATATCGTGTTCTCAACGCCTGACCCTCAGCGGTTATTAGAACTGCTTCCGATTCTGGATTCATTCTTCCCCTTTTAAGCCACATAAATGATTGATCTGCACCTTGTCCATTCTTTTTAAATATTGTCCATGGAGTGGTTTGTCTCTCCACGATTTCTTTAACATTTTTTGTGTCTCAAATCTTGTTTAGTAGAATCAGAAGTTCAGTGTCTGTGTTATTCTACGTGTCTTGCATAGTTTTCTTTGCAATGCTTCTTGCTACACTAACAATGCCAGTTTCCCATTCTTCGGTCAGATTCCTTGACCAGCCTCATTAGAGGGCCATTTCAATGACTGACTACATACTTTCCCATCCCGAATATTGCATTGTGCTGGGAGGCTTCAATTTGTCTGAGGGCTCTTCCTCTTTCCTTATGTGACACATAAAGTTTGTGTACATCAGCTGGAGAGTGGGTGATGCATAATGCATGAGCAGATTTCTGTTTTTTCGATCCATGATTCAATTATTTTGCTCAGTCCAGTCCACAAGTCCGAAACTGTACTCGACTACAGGTGCCGCCAAACTACCAATTGCAGATATTTTATTCCTGGAGTTCAGGGCAGTCTGCAGGACGAGTCTCAATCTTCTGTAATACTCCCTACGAATTCTCTTTCATTGTGTTGTTCGAGATGGTCTCACATTCCTCAATGCCCATATATTTATAAGTTTTACGTGGATCAAGATCTTGAATCACAGTGGGCATATCAACTTCAACGATCTCTGACGTTCTCACTTTGCCTCTTTAGATTGGTTTTTGCACACTTTTCAATACCAAACTCCATTCAGATGTCGTTGCTTAAAGTCATTCACGACAGACAGCACTTGGAAGAAAATCTCTTCATTCTTAGTAAATACGTTTAAGATCATCCATGTAAAACAAATGTATTACTGGCCTTTCATCACCATAACTTGTAACCAAAGTCAGCTTGCAACCTAGATGGAATTACGTCACTCATGGTAGTGAAAGGTAAAGGATGTGATTTACAAGAAAGTATGAAATGCAGTTACCATCACTGCATTTCATATTTTGCAGTTATCTACATTAGTTTGTATGAAAATTCTAAATTAAATGGGCAATTTTCTTTAAAATTCTGAAGTAAATAGACTACGTAACCAAACTGCAAGAAGGTAAAATTTTAAATTCAGATTTAAAAGATAGGTTGAGAGAAAAACACATCCAAACTCAAATAAATTGAAAATAAAATCCTGTTCCCGAGGTTACATAATTTTTGTTACTCATCAGACATCAATGCTGTCAATCTAGTCATTTCTGTTCTGTGGTTTGATGTCTTCAGCATTGTCAGAAGTAAGACAACACAACTAGTGGTGAACAAGTGGGATAAAGGGATGTTGTAGACTGGACAATCAAGGCCATTCGCACCATTCGATAAAGGGCGAAAGGTCTTTCATACCTTTTTTCCCCGTTTTATAATCTGTTATTCTCTGAGGTATGTTACCAAGAGAGACTGGGTGTTTTAGATTCTAACTTGAAGGATATGTGAAATGGGATGTACTCAAAAAGAGATTCTTTGCAAAGAATTGTGAATGGATCACTCTTTTGGTACCAATTGAATATTCTCAGTAAATGGAGAAAACAAATCAGTTGCAGGCTTTGCCTGTCAACTGATGGAAGGGTCTGGTAATAATACAATCTTGTGACCCTACCTACACTGTTGACAAATGAAGTACAGCTACACCTTTTTGCTGTTAATAGACTATCAATTACTGAATACAATTATCAACCTAATTTTTTTTAAAAAAAATGGAGTTTAACTCTTGCACTTTAAGAGCCTAAATTTTAAAAAAACTACATATTAATCAATATATTAGTTTCCACTTTATAAATAATCATGTATTTTGTTGTTCTATGCACTATTAATAATGTTTTATTAAAAGATTTTAAAAAAAATTAGCATATTTTTCCATTTCAGTGTGTCAATTTTCATTAATTATGTTATTTTAATATAGGGTTCCTCAAGTTCTTGTTTATTTTGGAGCTCTAAAATACAGCAATGAATTGATGAAGAAATTAGAATCAGGTAATGTTTTAGATGTTCATTCATAGGATAATAAAGCTATCAAAATTTAGTTTTAATTGAAAAACATTTACGTTTGTAGATGAACTTTTACCAAATGGAAGCACTGAAGAAGTTGAAATTCGGGGATGCTGTATAGAAGTAGTAGAGCTCATACGTGAAGAGGTGAAAAAGAGCATTGCAGCTGACAATAAAACTGACTTACACATTAACTCAATATTGATTGATCACTTCTTATGGGATTATAGAAGAAAATATGCAGACACTTTGGAGTCGATACCTTTCCACAAAACTCCTTGTGTCTATTACTAAGAAATAATTGACCTGTTAATAAATGATCAGGAATTAAATTTATAAATGTATCAATTTGATATAAATTGAAAGATGTGGAAATCAATGAAAACATCCTTAAATTCATTAATTATTCTCTGGATGTACTTTTGCTTAGTACATGAGTTTGTTCAAAACTACTCTTTTATGTCCTGTTAATGTTAATATTGCATTTATATTTCTTTTATGTTTGTTAAGATATATTGCGTGGATGCAATATAGAATTGAGACAGTACTTAAAATAAATTTTCTTTCCAATGTAAAAATAAATAGCAGAAAGATAACTTGATGGGCTTTGTTAAATTTTGAAGTTGAAAACCTTTTTCTAATCAGATGTTAAGAGTTTATACTTAATGATATTCATGTCTTCATATATTTCATCACAAATATTTTGTAAAGAATTTTACAATATAATAAAATGTCTTAGTGTCAGTGACTTTTGTTTCCTCAAAAACTGAAAGTTCATTCAAGTATCCAAACATTCAAAATTCATTTTAATTTTGATCATTAGCTAATGCTATGCTATTGCAAACTGTGGAGACCATGCATCCTTAGGGGCATGAATGATCAATAAATTTACCCAACTAATCCCATGGAAATATCCATACAGGGGGTATGAATGGAATGAACTGAAAATGAACAAGTTTGAAATGCAAATAATGTTCCCATCAGGAATTGAACCCAGGACCATCTGTTATCCAGACAGATGCTGTAGTAACAGATTGAGCTATGAAATAAAATATTATAAACAATTTAACAATCATACACTTATGGTATGGTTAAACTGACATGAAGGGTTTGCACTTCATGACAATCCATTTTCAGTACCGTTGACGTATGCTTTTACTATTTAGGCAACAATTGTTTATTATAACTCAATCAAGAGTGTTTCACTTCATTTCATTCATCAACACCCATCATTCCAATTGAATGGTGAAAACCGGAATGGTATTAACTTCAGTGACATTTTATAAATTCTGAGAAAAACATGTTTATGTTAAGCTATATTTCAGTGCCAATATAATTGTGTGGTTTTAATGAACATGCCATGGTTTTAATGATGACACAAAGCACTACTTTACAATGATATTAAAATAAATAAGCAGTTTTCTCAGAATTTATAAAATGTCACTTATACTATTCTGGTTTTCACCCATTCAATTTGTTTTGCATGTAATGAGTTACAGTTACAACACAAGAACATGTATTGCAGTCAACAAGGAGTCATGCAAAGGGTGCAGAAAATTAAAGTAATGAAACAAGGGTTCAATAATTTTATTTCATTCTTCCCGATTGAAAGATCATTATTATAAATGGTGGATGCCCTGTTGTTATTTGTCTAATCTAATGTCCATCTGCTTACCACTCATGAATGTATATTAGTATTTCTTCCAAAATTTGCATGCCTACCATCTGCATGAACCTGAGTCCTTCCCCTTTTCTTCTCACTTCTCTTCATAAAGTCTGTGAAATATTTTAATACACAAGTTACCACAAAAGGTCTGACAACTATGAGTATTGTTGGTCAGGCAACAATTTCTTATACAAAATACATGTCATAATGTTTGTGAATGTTTAATGTATGAATTTATTAGAGAAGCAGTTTAATCCAGATGGCATGTCTTGCTTGAATGTGGGCTGGGAGAAAATAGACTCCAGATAAAGTTTTGTTGCATAGAAGTCCTCCAACATTGTGAATTAATCTCTTCGACTGGTCCAGAGGCGTGTGACAGCTGAGACTTGTTCCTAGTTCTTACTCTGCATGATAAGCGCTGTTACGGCGACTTCCACGTATTTGATACAAGGTGTGGCAAGTAACCAGTGCTTGCTTAATGTTTAGTGAAGTGTACAACATTGTGTTGTGAATATTTGTATGGTACATGAAAATACATTGTAACATTAAAACGAAAACTTTATTAACTACCCTCTCTAAAATACTAAACTGCACTCTTAGAAATACTTATTTAAAAAAGAAAACTCGTAAATCAAGACACTAATTTAAAAACTTGTATTACACACAAATCAACAACATGAACATGGAACAGGCTTTCACCAGCATCCAGTCTTCTCTTACCCCCACAAGTTCCTTCTCTTACTCTCACCTCTCCTGCCCACTCCACATCCCTCACCTGCCCCCAGTCCTCTTTTACCTACGCCAGTTCCTACT